ATATGATAAAGCCCATGCGCTGGGATGACGGAATATGGCATTTTAATTAGGAAATTTGTAAAGCTTTTTTAAGCTCCAAACACCAAAAGTGTTTCGTTGGCATTATTATACGATTATTTTCAAGTATACATGTGTAAATAATGAAAAAAAGTATTGCCAAATTGTTTGAATTGTAATTTTATGTCATATATCACCTATATTCATTATTAAACACGATACCGGTATCAATCAATACATCTAAACCATAATTTAAAGATCCTCTAACACAGTTTTTAAGGTTTTATATCAAAAATATAATGCTCAAAATTTAATGAAGATTTATCAATATTTTAAGTTCCAAAAGCATTATTTGTAAAGATATTACCGAATTTACATGTTATTGTGATAAAGGGAGGTAATTTGAAATTCATTGTCTATAGTCAAAATTCTCAGTAAGAAATGAAAGCATAGATTTTAATGCTTACATATAACGTGGAAATATATTTGCAGTACATATTTGACTTATACTTCGATGTTGGAAAATTGTTCTAAAAGCATAATTATATAAAATATATAAATATATAACATTTCAGTACGGTAACAACATATACATGTATTACAACATCAATCGCAACTACTCGGCCCTTTCCGTCAGTCTTCGGATAAGTTATAGATATAGATAATAGCCGAGGCAGTTCCGAATGTATACTTGGTAAAAATTCTAAAAATAGAAATTGCGCACTTTGGAAAACCAGTCTTTATATAGATTGGAAAACCAGCCTATTATTAGATATGTTGGAAATTCCAGTACAGCTTGAGCCCGGCTGTGAGCGTTAATAATAAGCTGAATGATTTTATCCCGCGAAACCAGCCGATGAGAGAAAAACAAATCAACTTGATGGTTAGTGGCATTGTTGTAACAGCTCGTGTTTGCAAAAACGTTTTTATCAATAATCGGGGCTTAAAAAATTCTTTTAAAAAAAAAATTTTTTAAATTTTAAAATTTATTTTAATTTGACTTTGGGATTATTCAATAGTTTAAATTTATTTACTGCAAAAATTCCCAATTTTTCCATTCGGGTTGGAAAACCCCAAAATTGGGCAGTGAAAGATTTCTATTTCCCTGATATCAGATAAGATTGTACGTCTCTTTCAAAGGTTTCCTGCCCAAAAGGGTTTGGAAAATTTTGGAAAAGGTGCAAAATTTTAAATTTTTAATAAAAAACCATTTCTACCATGCGATAAGATAGTGTGATCTTTTGTGTAATTGTCAATATACAAGGTATCCCAGAACAAAAGGATTTCAGAATCTGAGCTTTGGCGCATAAATATTTTTGACTAATTGAACGGTTTATATATTGATATATTGTGTGAATCTCAAATGTGCTAGTCCTTGGAGCACAGAGACCCATCATGATATTTTGAATGTGTGTGCAAATGCTTATCAAATTATTACCCTTTTACTGTGTGATAACTGATAAATATTGAATAGAACTTCAGTATCATTAACAGTAATGGACCATTTACATATGTTTTTAACTTTTTATTGATTGCTTAAAAGTCATTCCTGGTATTAAGTACTGCCACTCATATTAGGTTATTAACAGAACTATCTTTTTGATGTATACTTAAAATTTCTTTTGGATGATTGTTATTTTCATCAAAAAATGGTACCTCCTACAGAAAATAACTATTTTATATTAGATTTTTTCTGTATTATATGATGGTGGGCCTAATAAGGCTTACACTCCCGGTAGATAGTACAACCAGGATACTACTCTATTTGATAGTCCAACTAATTAGGCTTGTCAGGAGACATCAAGATAATTTTGGACAGGCAATGTCTTTTTCCAACAGTGACAGTTTGAAGTAAACAGTTTGACAGTATGAAAAAAAAATTGTAAAATGGGTCAAACCATTCACGCCAAATTAATTAGGCTACATAATGTATCTGTTTGAATGAGCCTATTACTTTAATTGTCAGTTTTATGGAAAAAAGCAAGAAGTCCAATATATACCAAATTAGTTTATATAATAAACAAAAACATTGCAAAAATGTCTAAGTGATGGCATGGCTGGGTTGTTAATGCGTTGGATTAGTTATCTAAGGATTGCTTGCCACCTGGGTTCAAACTCCATCAGGGGCAAGCCCTTGCTTCCATGATGAGCAAGAACATTTCCACTTATTGCTTAATTAGTACTGGTTGGTGCAAGGAAAAGATTCAATGGTGTTTCAATAAGCTTATATCTTCCAACACAGTCAAATTAAAACAGATATGTATAAACGAAGTAGACTTGCTGTAGACATGCACTCAGTTTTTAGACAGATTTCATGTATATCAATCATATTTATATTTTAGCTTCATCAGCTTATGATACAAATTTTTAACCTTAATATTCTACATTGTCATCACTTTAATAACTCTACTTTTTTACTCTTTTTTTTTCAAAATATGACTCTTTAGTCTTTAGCTTGATGTGTAAGCTAAATATTAGAGGGATTTGTGGGCATGCACCGTCAAGAAGATTTTTTTTGCTTTAGGTTGTCGGAATAGAGTATTAGTGTATTTAATATGATTAATATGTTCAGGAGGTAATTAGAATAATTGCAGGTAGACAAATAGATAAATAGCTTGCCTTTCAAGGGATATGGAAAAGAAATGATATGATTTGATGGACCTTCTGTAAGTTTTGATCACATTTAAATTATGGAGAATGAACAGTAAGACAGATAAAAAGATTGAAAAAAAAGATGAAATAAGTGAATAAAATGGGCCTGATAGCTTGGGATAGCAGACATCGAAAATTATTTTCAGGGTCACTCTTCCTGCAGGACGAGTAGCTTCTAAATCCAATGTGCAGGCAACATTTTCCTACTTGCCCTGCATCCAGTTCTATAAAATTCTACTCTTAATAACAAAAGGATTTAGTGAAAAATTTTTATCTTTTTTAGTGTTTTACATATGGGGAAATTTTTTCAGTATTATGTTTTAAATTTTTAGGCTTTGGGAAGGGGGGGCTCGTCTTGGGCAGTGGCGGGGGACCCGGAAAAACTTTTTAGTTTTGGTTTTGTATTAATTAAAAATTAATGTAAATATAAATAGCTTAAAGTTACAATTAATCAGACTTTAAGAAATATTTTTTTACTACTAAAAAAATGAAAAAAATGATAAATATTTATGATTAAGTTTGAATTTTGGATGTATCATGCAAAATATTACAGCACTAAAATTCTACTCTGTAACCAATGGATGAAATTCTGCATACATATATTTTGATAAGTAATACATAATTTCTGTGGATTTTTAGGTACTAAGGGCTTTTTTTGTACATTTTACACAAACCCTACTTGTTATCAACCAAATTTTGCTTTAAAGGGTTTGTGCAAAAAATTATTTTTAAAAAAATCAATAAATTTTAGTAAAATTTTCCCGTGATTAGGTAAAAATTTTTAAACCCCTTGGGTTGGAAAAAAAATTTTAAAAAAAAAAAATGGGTTTTGGGTTTTTTTTTTAGGATAGTAGTATGTGAAATACAAGTGGTGCTGAGACCATGAAAATGATTAAAAACATAGGTGCTGGAAAATGTAAGAAATGTTCACAGTTAACAGTTGAAATAGTATCTCCACTTTCATAGTTTATACAGTAATTTTCAATTAATTGATAAAATCTATTAAATTATATGATTGTATAAAGTATTTTAGTAGTAAAAAATTTTTGACCAATTTTACAGTCTTCTGGAAAATAGTATAGTTATTGAATAAGAAGAAGAAACAATTCTTTTCTCATTATAAACATGTTTATTGTTCATGTCGATTTCAATTACCTTGTATATTGCATATTTAAAAGGTTTCATTTGTATTTATTTAGTTCCACAACAAAAATTTTTAACTGGGGTCCAACAATCTTCCTCAGTTTCGGGCCAAAGTTCTGTGGACCCGCCCACAAAGTCAAGTGCAAGTAATGGTGATCATATTCACGTGGTTATACAGGATGATACTGAAAATGAACAAGATCCAAATGAATGTAGGCATATTGTCTTTTTATGTTATTATTCTGTTAAATTTCTTTTCCACAAAGATGCCCAGTATAACTTTACAGAAAGAGTAGAGCTGTGAAAGTATAATAACTAATAAACTATATAGGTTTTTAAAAACTCACCGTATTGAATGACAGTGCTTACACTGGCTTGCATGTATGACACAGTATAGATGTAACAAGTCATTCAATAAGAGAGGTACATGTACAAGTAAAAATATATAGGCTCCCAAGAAGCATAGAGTAATGAGAAGTAACATGTACTTATACTCGCAAGACAGGCCAAGGGTACATATTGAATTTTATAGGCTCAATACTGTGTATCTTCTTTGTCTCTTAAAAATAGAAATTTGTTCTATTTATAGTTGTGGTTTTTCCTAGTCTAATTATAGCTAGAAATTCATATTGCGCCATGGTTTCCCAATGTCAAAAATAATCGCTATATTTAAACATTAGTAAATCTTTATTTAGAATCAGTGGGATTAGGGGATTTTTTTTAAACCCGAAAAAAAAAACCACACAAAATTTTTTTTTAATATATTTTAAAGCCCGGTATTAGGGAAATTTTCAATAGGGTTTATGTGTACAGTTTGCATTATTTAGTTTAAATTTAAAAAATTTTTTACTTTTTTTATAAAAAGAGAGAAAATGGTTTATAAAAGGTTTTTAACTAATTACATTTTATTTAAATTACATTTTGCCCGGTTTTATCCGGGATACTTTTTTTTAAAACCATCTAAGATATTCGACCCAAAAATTTGGGGGTGAGGGAAAAAGAAGTCACATTTAAATTTGATGTTAACGGGGGTTGGTTTTTGTTTTATTAATATTGCTAGGGTGGGGTTTAAAAATTCCCCAGCTGCAAGCCCCTAGATCAACTGTAGACGCATCCCAGATAATGGGGAAAAAAGCCCGAAACAGTACAAAGGAAAAGGGTTGGAATGCCCAGACCCGGGGTTAAGGGGAAAATTTATGACAACAATGAGGTTTAGATATATGTCGGAAAAATGCCCAGCAAAGAAGAAAGGAACAAAAACCAGACAATATGAAACAGAGGATATGGACAAACACTGCTTGGCAGAAGTGTCTGTGAGTTTATACAATACATGTAGTAATAAACTTGTATAACATTCATTATGAATAATTAAGAATTAAAAAACATCTTAAGTTGTTGAATTAGTCTACATGAATATAGACTTTCCTTTTCATTGGATTCTATAGAAAAAATGTTTCAAAATGTATTAACCTTAACAGATCGAGATATACAGTTGTATATTACAGAAATGTATCTCTCCATGCTTTTACAGCATTCTATTTAGCTTTGAAAACATTCTGTTTAGCTTCAAAAATGTTGTTTCATTCTATATAGCTTTAAGCTACCAAATAAACATGTAATTCTGTATAGATAATTTAATAATAATCTTAGTTTTGAACCTTGAGAGTTAGCAGAATGATAACAGACTACTAAACACTAGTTCTGTTTTAAGGAGAAACTAGTACTTAATAGATTGATAATCAATTCACTGTGAATGCATTGTAGTCTGAATTATATTATAGATAAACATATATTGTTCTTTAAGTAAAAAAATTATAAGATAAGATAACTGGCACATGTCAACAAAACTGATTTGTAAAAATGTAACTTTATGCAGATATACAAATAAGTTACATAAAATATAATTTGTAATTAAAATCTTGGTGCTTTTTTATATACAGGTGGATAACTATGATGGTGCAGGAAAGATTGTTGCATATTGTGTTGATGCTACAGGAAAACTACATCCATATAACCTGTTTGGGGATCAGTGTAATCGGGGAGTGTATGTTGTGAGATTCAGATTTAGACAAGGGAAAGTTGCAAGGTGAATGTTTTGAAATAAATAATCTCTTAATATAATTACATTATGTTTATTTTAACATGCACTGCTGGTCTGTTAACGATACGACATGATTGTCATTATTTAAATCTTACCAAATCTGACTTCTTAAATTTCATGTTTTCTTATATGTATAAGTTGTTCACTGCATTTAATTGTTTCAGATTGTACAAAGTAAGTGTGACAACACCAAAAGCCAAAGAGTATAAGGAAAATCTGAAGAATCAATTATCCTATTTGACTGAAGTAGGAATTCAAGATATAAAATTCTGTAAGTAATTCTTGAACCTACCAGTATTTATTTGAAGCCAATCTGTTTACTGCATTTTAGAAGTTTCTCTGTTTTCTTTTTAAAATACTTAGTGTTTTTATAAATATGTCATAGCTTGATAACTATGAAATTTTTAAATTTACTGGTATTTAAACCACTCTTAAAAGTTTTTCTTTATTGATCTTTATTGATGTCTTAGAAAACACAGTCATGACCCCATTCAAGCTCTAGCCCAAAATATGTACTCAGAGTTGCAGGCATCTTAAAGAATAATTATTTGATTATTTGTTTGAGTTGTTCCCAAATAGATGTATATGATCACTTCTGTTTAAGGCTCACATTCAATTAAGAACATGACATTGCTAATGCATTATGTTTAAGGCACCAATTGATGGGAAATTTCGATCTTTTGATAAAATGCAAGCAACATTACAAAGTTCAATCATGTTAAAAACTTAGTGGAGGTCCTTATAATGGTCCACCTCAGAAAGGTTTCAGATAATATATTTCAAAAAGATCTTCAAACAACTTGGAATGCATTCTAATTTAAAAAAAAAAAAAAAAAATAAATCAGTTGTCAATATTTTGAATTTATCATTTGACAATATTAAACCATTTGAGTTCTGTAAACACATGATTTAACAATTGAATAATTTGAGTTTTGATTAAACATTTGATAGTATTTAACAATTTGAGTTTTGTTTACATATTAAACAATAAAACATGTAAATAATTTAAAGTTTTGCTTACACATCTAGCAATATTGAACAACTTGAGTATTGTTTTCAGGTACACCAGAAGAGATACAAGATAAACAGATAGTTTATGTTATGTTCAGGGTCATTCTAGATAATGGTGATATTCTTACCAAGATATCTACAGCATTGCAAAATAAAAGTAAGTTTGACTTGAAGATAATAAACATATTTAAAAAAATAACGTAACATTTTTTACAATAAAAAGAAATCTAACTCCAGAATTGAAAATATTTTGGGTTTTCCCAGCTAATCCAGGGGTACAAACAAACTAACAGTAACAGTTTCGAAAATAAGCACAACAGGTTGACTAATTTATTGTGAATGGTAGAGCACCATGAGGCTTTAACTGTACAAGTTTGTACTGGGAGATAAGCTTGGAAAACCCCACTTTTATTAAGTTTCGGATATACATATATTGAATATACTCGCCGAAACAATTTAATAATAGTCAGTTTGCCAAAAAAAAAAAAAACAGCAACAACAACAATCATGGAAACCGTTTTTTCCCATTAACTTGGGTCCATGCTGCCAAACAAGATCTTACATGTAAATAATTTCAATTTCTCTAGTTGACGTTTAAGAAGGTAGGTAGTAAGTCAGATGTCAAGTATACTGTCCCTGTACTTGAAAGCTCCAAATTTAGTGGTTCACTGTTTGATTGTCCACCAGGTTTATAATGGAATCAATGTTTAGCACACTATGATTTATAAAGATTTGATTAGACTTTAGATACCTTGCATAATTAACAGAACAAATACATACATGTATTGATAATATTTCTTTCAGAGAAAGGTAAAGAATTCAAGATTGAGGATGTTGAACCAGTGTGTTGTCCCGCCAATATGCCAGTCGACTGTGTCAATCCTTGGAAACACAGAATAATGCTTCATGTCACTGAGGGCACTGCATTCCCATCTGGTTAGAAGCTGTTTTTTTATACTGCATTTGGAGAATTCAAGTGCTTATTTACACATTCAGCTCTGTATTCAGTACATTAACATTTTTCCTAATTTTATGGAAAGGCCATTTTAAGTTTGACTATTCATGACTGATACTACAAGTAAACAAAATTTACTCCTTTCTATTCATTTAAGATTCATATGATTTATGAAACATATTACATGATAAACTTTGAAACTTTTTCTGCATTATTTTATAGATATGATGCTGACAATGAGCATTTTATTTTCAATTTTTAGATGTTGGGCTAAAAATTCGGGAGCGTGATTCAAACAAAAAAATTGTATGGGAAGCAGAACCAGATACATTTCATACTATAAAACAGGTATGGCCTAGATTTTTTTTTTTTTGTTGATGTTTCCAACAGCACTTTTAACTTAAACTCTGTATATTTAGATTTAGATTTCTCTAACTGTCAATGAAAAGTTCAGAATTCAAAGCTGGATGAATTCATAAATAAAATCCACAGGTTAAGGATTAATAATTGATTTTTCAATTACTGATTATATTTTCAGTGTGTGGTCAAGTTTGTACCACCTCCTTACAGAGATCCAGAAACAAAGAAAGATGTTGAAGTGGAAATCTGCCTGTATGACAAGGCAACAAAAAATGAAACAGAACCGTTCAAATTCATCTACAAGGGCTTAGGTAATTTTGATATATTTTTTCTAAAAATTCAATATCTAATTATAACAATTAAAACTTATCCCACTGAATTTGTAAAAATGACCTTGGTCTTGTTGGTTTCAATATAGAAAAGTCCATCATTGACAGTTGAAGGGATTTCAGCATACATGCCATAAAGTCCTGATTGTATGGGTTAGTCCCGGAAATAAGTTGTCTGCCCTGGTGGTGTCCCGGGATGATTTATGTCCTGATAAAAAAAGTAAATCTAAAATATTCTACTTTGAAGCAAGAAATTTTACATTTTTATATAATTTTATTGTCAAGTTTTTTATAAACTAGTCTAGAACACTAATAACAAAGGATTATCCCCTAACAGCATAGCAATGGTGACACTTAATTTTCAGTATCAAGAGGCTTATATTGAGTGGCCTGGTTTTATATTCACAATGAATTATTGTAGATTTAGCAACTAAATGGATGCCATAGCTATATATTGTTAAACTGTAACTTGCAGTTTTTTTTCGTTGTTTTTTTTTTCAAAGCTATTTGTTCAAAGTAAAGGCAAAACTTAACATCATGATTATCTGAACTATCTATGAAAACATTTATCCTGTCACTTGTGTCAATTTCGGCCCGATAACAAGGTGCCGTATATTTTTAATGATCTACAGCACTTGATCACGTGCTATGCATGTTTGCCTGACTTCTTTTCAAGAAAAAATATAAAAACTGTCGTTAAATCTTCTGTGTGTAGAATAACGAATTTTGGAAATGTTGATAAAACTTTGTTTGTTTATTTTATTTCACTCTATAATTTTTTTCAAGCCAATTAAAATTATTAAAAGTGAAATAAATGTAAAACTTAACTCGTTTGCGACATTAAAATAGCGTACTTGATTTGATTGTTTTGCACGTGCTGTTTGGCGCTACATTGTGATGTCACGTAAACAATACTTTAAACGTCTGTACAGCGTTAACGACTGAATAAAAGATATTGGTGTTCGAATTCATTTTCTTAGTTAGACCATTTTCTTTCATTCTAGATAGTTTTCACAACAAAATTCGACAAAAAATTGTTTTTATTTATCACATTATTCAAACAAAATGGCGCCCTCAAAGTGAAAATACACAGGTAGATAATAAGAACGGCGAGTGCATTGTTGCGCTTCGGGCCTTCTTTGTTTATAAAGAAACATTTCCGATAGTGTGATTAAAGGTATTTTGCCTAATAAAATTCTTTAAAAAAACGGTGACAAGATAAATAGAATAATAGATTGGTGCCGTGGATGGAGAAAGTTTATCATGCTCTGCTCCGGAATTTATTGGATTCGCCTTCGGCTCACCCAATAAATTCCTCCGCCTCGCCAGATAAACTTTCTCAATCCACGGCACCAACCTATTATTCTCTATTTATCCTGTCACTTGTGTCAATTTCGGCCCGATAACAAGGTGCCGTATGTTTTTACTGATCTACGGCACTTGATCACGTGGTATTCATGTTTGCCGGACTACTTTTCAAGAAAAAATATAAAAACTGTCGTGAAATCTTCTGTGTGTAGAATAACGAATTTTGGAAACGTTGATAAAACTTTGTTTTTTTATCTACGGCACTTGATCAAAATGGCGCCCTCAAAGTGAAAATACACAGGGAGATAATAAGAACGGCGAGTGCATTGTTGCGCTTCGGGCCTTCTTTGTTTATAAAGAAACATTTCCGATAGTGTGATTAAAGGTAGTTTGCCTAATAAAATTCTTTAATAAAACGGTGACAGGATAAATAGAATAATAGATTGGTGCCGTGGATGGAGAAAGTTTATCTGGCTCTGCTCCGGAATTTATTGGATTCGCCTTCGGCTCACCCAATAAATTCCTCCGCTTCGCCAGATAAACTTTCTCCATCCACGGCACCAACCCTTTTATTCTCTATATCTATGGTTTCCCTTTTTACTTTTGTACAGCATCAGGTATTTCTATATACATTAATGGTACATGATTATGTTACAGAAAATGTGAAACCTGAGATGAATTTTGATCACAAGGCAAAGAAGCGAAAGCTGATGGATGACATTGATATGGCCAGTACATCATTTAGTCCAGGTACGGTAATTCAATATTAAAATAGAAAAAGTTCCAGATTTTTACATTATTTACCTCCCTTCCCAAAAGTGGGTTATTATTCTATGTTATATGATTGAGAAAGTATTGAAAAATAAACAGTTGAATTCTAGGTGAATTGTCTAATTCTTATATACATTTGAACTTCAAATTGAAGGAATAAATTGTTGTAGCACCGATATGTAAAAGATTTTTTATAGTTTTTCATGAAGATGATAGAATTATGAGAGATTTTTATCTAATCTTAAGCATATGATATGTTGGAAATGACCCTCAAAATGGTAGCCAGGGGAGGAAATAATTGCTATGTGCAACTTGGCATCTACTGGTTTTGATCAAGATGTAATTTAAAATGATGCAGATTTTTTATAAACTAAATTAGAAAACTAGTTTCTGTAAAAGAAATGTTGTCGGTCACTTAACCAAGCCATTGTGAGCGTAAACTGTGATATGGTAACAATCAAAATTTCAAAAGGGAGCATCGGTCTTGTTGTTCAGGTGACCCATTCCAGAGATCGTGGGTTTGAGCCCGACTCTGGTCACAATCATATTTCCTCACTCGACAATAGTACTGGTTTGTTCCAGGAAGCAGATTGGAAAGTTTATTGAAATACATGTACCTACAAGCTTTCTTTACAACGAATCAAACTTAAACAAATAATATTTAAACCAAACAACATTCTCATGTTGTTTCCTGTACTTTTATAGATGATTATACTTGATTATACTTTTTAATAAATGTAAATTTGCTGTATGTTATAGATGTGCGTGGTGAGAGAAAAACTTTGACGGCTCTACGTTCCCGACCAAATTCATCAAGTTCTGGAAGCAGTAATGGTAGGTCTTGATATCTATCTGCTTACATACCATGTATAGTCATACAAAGAGAGCTGTATGTCATACTCGCCCAAGTGTCAGCATCCCCGTCCAAATTTCTGATTAAAAGTTTTTGTACAGTAACATTTTTTACATGCATTTACTCCTACTCTTGTTTTATGAATTAAAACTGTATTTTCTTGTTAAATAATTTCAATGCATGCTTTCGGAAATTCTTCTCTGTAGAAAAAGTTTGTTTATTTATTTCAACCATTGACTAATTTAGACCGAGATATAACTTACATATAAAGTTTCATTCCTTAAATGCTGAAAAAAAATAGAAGTTAGTAATTGCAAATTAAGACCATATAGCAAAATGTCTTATAAATAGCCTGTGAGTTAAGAATTTGTTTACCTGCCCAAAATACGTTCCTTTCAGATATGAGCAATTCAATAATGCTACAAAGTACTTGAGGCATTGTATTTATAACCATCTGATATCAAATAATAAAAGAATGTTTTCATCTCTTTAAGGTTCATCAGCTGAGAACTCTTTGACATATCAGGAGTCTCAGCCATTGTTTGAGTCTGCTCAGAATCGGTCAGCCACACCTACTGGGGTGGAAGAAGGAGCTGTTAGTCTTAGAGAACAGCAGCAAGGAAACGGACAGATCCCATTTCAGAATTATTCTGGTCAAAATCCAGGACAATCTATATTTGGAGCAAGCAATGGTCAGTCAAGTAGACCACAGTCAGCTGGGTTCAGAGGTCAAATGACAGGAACTGGAATGCAAGCAAGTTCAAACCAGACTTCAATAGTTACATCAACTACAAGCGTGTTTTGTACCACCACTACTGCAACAACGTCGTATGTTTCTCCAGAACTGCCAACCATGTCTGTAAACAGTAGCAGGGAAAATACCGCTTCAAATAATCAGATACAGCCAGAAGCTACAGAACAACATCCTGGTGTGATGGTTTTGTCGGAAGAAGACAAACATACTTTAGATGAGCAGGGAGTTCAGCTACCTGAATTAGGCCCAAAACAAATGTATGCTCTCATTGGTGGCCAGATTTATGTTGTCAATGACGACACTGCTGAGCAATCTTCCAATGTAACACAAACTCCTGCACCATATAACTCTCCAGCCACTTCCACTGTAACACAAACTCCTGCACCCTATAACTCTCAGGCCAATGTGCAGAATATTGGGCAACTTCAGGTGGTAATTCAACAGTTTGCACCCCAACAGCCAGCTTCAGAGGCAGAACAAAGACAGGTTGAATTCCCACCAATGACCAGTGGTATATCACAGTCAATGGGTGCCCAAAACTTTCCTATGTCTACAGCATCTATGAGTACTGCTGTAGACCAAAGTGCAGTATTGCAACAACAACGAAACGTTTTGATGCAACAACAACAACAAGAACAACTGCTACAACAACAACAACTACAACAGCTGCTTCAGCAACCACAGGTTTATCAACAGATAGCACAGGTAGCACTTCAAGCTGGACTAGATCCTACCGACCCAGTTGTGTTACAGCAGTTGCTACAGCAGATCAGTGCTCTTCAGGGACAAACTAGTCTGCAACAGGGGAATGCTGCTGAGGCAACAATGTTTGGCGCTGGTGCTGATCTTAACGATGATGATTTGGAAGAAGATGGTGGTTCAGTTAGTACGAAAAATGCTTCTAAAAACAAAACAAACAAACCTATGTCTGTTGTGAAAGCTGGTGATCGACGGAACAAAAAGTTAAGGGGAAGTTCTGGTATAGGTAAAGCTATGTATGAAGCTGAACATATGGAGTATGTGGAAGGTGAAATAGATGATGACACTAGAATTCCAGTGTTTGTGAATGAAGTGACCATTGGGGAGGAGAGTAATGACTGTGATACTAACAACAAAGTGCAATCTGTGAAAACTGTTCATTACAAAATGAAAAATGGTTCATTTGGAAATGACATTAGTTCAGATGAAGGCGAATCCAGATAATACAGAATAACAGATTAAATAGGTAAATGAAATTATTTTTTGATAAATGTACTTGATTTTATTGTGTGATTTAGGTCCAGCCATATAAACTTGAAAAATAAAATGGATTTATATTCTCTGAAGGAAAATACTGTAGATTTTGTGGTGCAAAGAGGATAGAGTTAACAATGTTGACAAATAAAAAATACAATTTAAAGAGATTCTAGGTATTCAAAATCTTGCGAAATCACATGAAAACTAAGAAATGGAAAAGTCAGTTTTGTTATAAAAACTGCTCTGTATAGAGGCTTTCTCCTAGAATCTCATATCGTGTTATGGGGTGATTTTGTTGTGAATATGAATATTTGTGAATATTTTGAATTTACATAAAATAACCAGATAGGAAAATACAAGAATGTGATATGAATCAAGGAAAAGTACTGATTTTCTGAAATTCATGGTGTTTGTGATATAAAGTTGTTGATGCAAGGTACAGGATGTACACTAAAAACTAATAGTGGAAAAGAAGTTCCTAATTTTGAAAGAAAACTTGCAAGTAAATGTACAATATAACATTATATTGAGGACTATGAAAACTACAAGCCACGTTGTTGGGAATATTGTGTTTTTGAATGGCTTAGTAAAAGTGTTTCTTGAACGTGTTTTCTATAATCTTAGTGTTAATGATGTGTTACTTGTCTACATTTTTGGAGAATGTGTTACGGTTAATATATACATGTATGTACATGTATATTAAAATATAAAAGACAGAAAAAACATGATAAAAAACACAAAAAAATCTTATTATCATGCGTAAATTTTCCAATTTATATACTTATGCGTTTTTATATAGGTAAACTATTCAAAACTTTGTATAAAACTTAAAAAAAAATGTAAATATAGATCTGTAATATATCTAGTAAAATGTGCTTGGACAGGAAGAGTTAAATACCTGATTTATTGAGGAAGTAATATTTCATGCAAATAATATCGGAAGAAGATTTCCTGCTTGTTTGGGACCAAAACATAAAAAAAATAAAAAGAATAAAAAAATAAAAAAAAAAAGTTTAAAAAAAAGTTAAAAAAAAAAATGAATAAAAAAAAATGAGTATAAAACATATTCTTAAGTTATTGTTGTTAAATGATGTATCCTTTGGCAGCTAAATGATTTTCATCACATTTTTTTACAGAAAGATCATTGAAATCCTCATTATTCATTCATTCTTCATTCATTCATTCTTCATTCATTCATTCATTCATTTCATATGTTGTTTCCTCAAGCTAAAATTTGTGTAGGAAATGTTTATGTATTTTCAAAGACAACATTATTTTGTTATAAATTAAAAATGTTGCAATGTATAGTTATGAAAAAAAGATAATTCATTGTATCATATTTGTTTTAAAAAAATCACACATGTGCTAAATGTATATATTTTATATTGGTATTTTTGGTGCAAACATCTTTAAGTGCTATGATTATAGACTTAGTTACAGACTTTTTAACATTGAAATATAAATGTATATATTTGTTAAAACTCAAGTAACTTTTTTCTTGGTTTTTTTAATATTGTGAAAAATGAAAATGAGCCACGTCATGACAAAACCAACATAATTTGGTTTGCGACCACATGGATCCAGACCAGCCTGCACATCCGCGCAGTCTGATCAGGATCCATACTGTTCGCTTAAACAAACCCTATTTTCCAAGTTATAGAGAAAGATCTGATATGCGAACAGCATGGATCCTGCATGGGAATCCTGTAATATGATTTGGTAAAGGAGACACTGCCAATCTTACTTAAACTTTGATGGTGATAATTATGGGAAAATAAAAACTTATTTGTTTTCAATGGCGTTTTTAATCTTTAATAATAGGGCAATTTTAGACATTTTTAGCTGAATTTGTAAAGTTTTTTTTAAATCTATTTTATCACTAGTTACACTTAAATAAAATTTTATGTTCAATTGTTGTTCTTTTTAAAGAATATTGCTTATATATTTTATGTATACTTAGTGCCATGCCTGTCAGTAGTATCTCCTTTATTACATTAAAGTTACAACAGTTTTGCACTAAGGCTAAAATAATTGTATAATGTAAATGTTGAAAGTTTGTAAAATATAAAAGATACTTGCAATTAAATTTTGCTGTAAAAAGAAAGATTTTTATACTGTTTTTTACCTATCTTCACAAAACCGAACTTTGTTTATTATTATTTTTAATCACCCTTGTTCTGACATAAGCATTCTAAAAAGTACTTCTCCAAATTTAAAACCTACATTTTTCTTTGAAGACTACCTTTTTTTGTGGCCAAGAATTTCAATACCAAATTATAACAAAACCTTATTACATGAAAGTTAATTGCTGTATTTAATAACCAGTGACTTGACCTGAAACAACCGTGCCAAAAATATTCAAAACCAATCTGACAAACCTTCGTTTATGCTGCCATTCTTATTGCGACTTTTTATTGCTGAACTTAAACTGTAATTATTGCAGTTTAGATATTTGTCTGGAGTCTTTTTTTTTTACTGCCGGCTGATCTTGGTCTGAACTGGTTGAATGTGTAGATTTCATTGCCACCTGCAAGCTTAAGCTACTCAGTTTTTCTATTTTTACTTCCCTATTAGTAAGAATGGACTGCTCCAAAGTTAAATCAGGGACAAGTCTATTATCAAAGTTTAGCATGATCAGGGTTTATTGATAAAGTTACAACCAACAAGATTAACTTGTTCAAAACAAGGTACCTATTACATAAGCACCATATAATTATAAAAGTAAAAGTAAAAAAATATTTAGTGTTTTTTTTGTTGTTGTTTGGTTGTTGTTGTTGTTTTTTTTAATAAATTTACAACAACTAGTATTATTTTCTTTACAATATGTACTTTTTTTGTAATAATGCAAGGCATTTAATACAAATTAAATCATTTCTTATGTAAACCTACAATTCCTGTATGAATACATCCTCACCAACGTGTGCAATATTCTTTCTTTGTTTTTTGTTTTGGTAGTTTTTAGGGAAAATTTATGTGCTATTTAAAGAAATCACGAGTGTAACATTGGGTTTCCAACAATGAAGTTTCAAATAATGTGTTGGGTTTCCAATAAAAATATTCATTAATATGATGTGTACAGAGTTGGTTTTCCACTGGTTTATACTTTAGTAATTTTGTAGTAATTTTCTTTTAAGTACAATAGCAGCACAGCCATGATTTTTTTTTAAAGTAAATGTATATATGTTATTGGAGTATAAATGTACATGTATATAAGATGGCTTGTGAGGCCAGTATGTGACAACATAAACACATTGTATTTGTCTTTCAGCCATTGTTGTGATATTGATCATGCTTCATTTATAAACACATCTTTGAAGAAAAACAACATGTTAAAAAAAAATAACATGTAAAAAAACAAAACCACAATGTATTATTTTGCATTTCATGATGTAAATAAATAGTAATTTATCAATTTTTGTTGTCTTATAATTTTCATGTTGAAATAAAAAGAAAATCAACAAGCTAGTGATTTACTTCCAAAGACTGATGAAACCGGCCCAATGAACTTTTATGTTAGTATTTCTCAATACAAAATAGAGGAATAAAAAATATTGAAACAAAAAAAAGTGATTAAGATATTTAAGATCAAGGTAAATAAGAATGGCGACTTGTAAAACTTTGAAAGAATGTGGAAACACAACATGCATACACATGTATACATATATATATTATACATGTATATTACTTCAATGTAATGTTGAAAAAATAGAAAAGGCCTGAAAGAATGTTGAAATAAGCACAATAAGCTATACTACTGGAAATTAATATGGAACAAGCAATTATCATAGTATTGCAAGCAATCCATAAGTCCCCTACCGGTTAGAACCCCATCAACATTCTGAAGGGCCATATTAGCCATTCACTAATGTTTAAATTTTTCTATATTTTAAGTAAATTTGTTGGAAAAGTTCTTTAAAAGTGATCACAGGAAACAGTTTTTATGAACAGACAGACAGACAGACAGACTGAAGGACACTAAAGTTAATATTTGAAACATCCCTGTTACCAAAATATAACATTTTTAAAAGCAAAATTCTTAAAAAGGAGATAACTCTTGAATTAAAGATGCAATTTCATAAAAAAAATTCAGCTCCTTTTGACTAATCACAAATTATGTTATATTTGCCATGTTTTAAGTCTATTTGTTGCCAAGGCAACCAATATTTTTTCAAAATAGGGAGAACAGATAAGACATGCATAATCTCAAGACTGCCATCTACCCATATGTCAAGTTTCATAAAAATATTTCCAGTACTTTTTGAGTTATCACTGGATTCAGTGTATGTGTAAAATTTGCCATATTTTCAGTCTATGTGTTGCCATAGCAACCAGAATTTTCAACATAGGAAGAAAAGAAAAAGAAGTGCATAATCTCCAGACTGCCATCTACCCATATTACAAGTTTCATAAAAATATTTCTATTACTTTTTGCGTTAACACAGGATCCAGTTTATGTGTAAAATTTGCCATTTTTTCAGTCTATTTGTTGCCATAGCAACCAGAAATTTCAACATAGGAAGAAAAGAAAAAGAAGTGCATAATCTCCAGACTGCCATCTACCCATATTTCAAGTTTCATAAAAATATTTCCAGTACTTTTTGCGTTATCACTGGATCCAGTTTATGTGTAAAATTTGCCATATTTTAAGCCTATTTGTTGCCATAGCAACCAGAATTTTCAACATAGGAAGAAAAGGAAAAGACGTGCATAATCTCCATACTGCCATCTATCCATATATCAAGTTTCATAAAAATATTTTCAGTACTTTTCAAGTTATCGCGGGATCCAGTTTTGTGGACGGACGGACTGACAGACAGACAGACAGACTGACAGACAGACAGACAGACGGACGGAGGGTAAATCTAAAGTCCCCTCCGGTAAACCGGTAGGGGACTAAAAACTAGTAAACATTAGAAACTAGTTTGACTTCAAATAATATTGAAGATGCATATACATGTATATTACTGACAAACTTGATGAATATTAACCCATACCCTGCTAGGGGCAACTGAAAATGTGGCCATTGTAGACCAAGATCATCCCTGCACATCCATGTCGTCTGATCATGATCTGCATTGTTCAGTCAATATATATTTTGATATTTTTGAAATCTTATGCTGAAAGTTGTTCCAATTTTTGCTGATATTAAATGATAGACAAGATGTGACAAATCAGTTATCAATTCTCCACCTAGGATTATGTGCATAGAATATCAATTAATCTTATGTATGACCTGGGACAAAGAAATATTGTATGTGTTGGGTTATTGACAAAAATGTCCACTAATTTTTACCTGTAACCTTTTAGTTACCTTGTAGTAACAGACATGCGTCTTATGCCAGAAGCTGTGTCCTTATTTTGCTATTTCAATTCAAAGTTGATTAAGAAATGATAATCATGGTCCTGATATGTTTGCATGTGCTGACAAAAACCAGGTGTAGGTGTGAAACAAGATAATCATAGAGGCATAATATTATCATGCCTAGAAAAGGGTTTAATGTAAAAACTACAACACGTTATTATCACATATTTTTATTTCAATTTTTGCTGTAGGACGGAAAATCATTTGTAAAAGTACATGTACATGTAAAACATAAAGAGTCTTGAGTTTCTATTAAAATTGCAATATGCTTTATAATAACCTATGAACCAAAATATAATGATGATCTTTAATCAGTTTAATTTCTAACCATGTAAAACAGATGTCAACTAGTACTGGATATGACTATCAAGTCTTTTAAAATCACATATAAAATAAATTTCATACACTATTGTGTACAATAGTTTAACATGCATTTACACCCAAATAGGATCTTACAGAAGGTTTTATTTCATATACTGGGATCCTACATATTACCGGACAAAATATGATGTTTTTTCGCTGTAACTTTTTTTTTAAAACAATAAAAAAGAATGGAATTTTACCTAAATAATTTTGGGTTCTTAATACAAGTAAACATTACTTTAACAAAATGAAATTAAACATTTGACCGTAGAGATGTGTCTTTAAAGTAAGGCATTATAAGAGAGAGAAAAATCGTGTAGACAGCTCAATTTACCGTACATTGCGTTTCAAAATTTTTTGAAGTCGTGAATTGAAATTAATCTTTAAAAAATCAGCAAGGAAACGACGACTATTGGAAGACAAGGTTAAGATATTGGAAACAAGAGCTGTCACAGGAGACAGCGAAGCTCGACTAATAAAATACTGGACGCAGTAAGGAGGACAAAACTATGAAAGAAAAATCAATTATGTATAATTATGTATTAAGTTATAGTAAAAAAATAACATTTGTTAACATAAATTCCAAGATCAAGGGGAATAATTCTAGAAATAGTCCTGCTAGAGTTATGGACCTTGTCACACAACATTTGTGTAATGATAAGAAATATATATTTGAAGTTTGAAGTAGATACCTTAAAAAGTAAAGAAGTTATTATATTTCTTAAAGAAAATCCTAAGTTCAAAGAGAGATAAATCTGTAAATATTGCTTCAAGAGTTATGAACATTGTCACATAAAATGTAATTGATGATAAGGAATAAGTATTTGAAGTTTGAGGTAGATACCTTTAAAAATGAAAAAGTTATAATAAAAAATAACATTTTTCTAGTAAAAAAATCTAAGATTATGGGGAGATAATTCTTGCAATATTGGTGCTAGAGTTATGAACATTGTCACATAAGATGTGGATGATGATAACGTAAATATATTTGAAGTATGAAGTTGATCCCTTAAGAAATAAATAAGGAACAGTAAAAAATAATATTTTTTATGGAAAATTCTAAGTTCAAAGGGAGATAAATCTGAAAATATTGGTGCTAGAGTTATGAACCTTGTCACATAAGATGGGGATGATGATAACATAAATATATTTGAAGTATGATGTTGATCCCTTAAGAAATAAAGAAACAGTAAGAAATAGTATTTTTTGAGGAAAATTCTAAGTTCAAAGGGAAATAAATCTGAAAATATTGGTGCTAGAGTTATGAACCTTGTCACATAAGATGTGGTTGATGATAAGGAACATATATTTGAAGTTTGAAGTTGATACCTTAAGAAATGACAAAGTTATAGTGAAAAATATTTTACTGCACCAAAACTTTAATCTAAAATCTGGACGCGGACGCGGACGCCGGGGCGAGTAGGACAGCTCTCCATATACTTCGTATAGTCCAGCTAAAAACTAGTTTGTCTCTAAAACTAGACACGGCAGCTACGCTTTTTACGAAAGGCCAATATATGGGGTATAATGGAAATTAACACTATTAACTCAATTCACGTATTGATTTTTCATGAATCTTAAACGTATGAAACGATTTGATGTTCAAATCGAGTTCTGTTCTTTGTCATACAGTTTCCTTTTGGTCATCATGTAGCATGTTACAAAAGCCATAAAATCTAATTGATTTAAATTTCATGTAGAGTTTTCTCCCATGGGCTTAACCCGTTTCCTTATATGGCTTTTAATGTGCATTTCTTTGTAAACGACAACATCGAGATACTGTTTGGACTAAATTTAAATTTTTTTAATCATAAAAATATATTACGATTGTCTCCTGAAATAACGGTGAGAAGAATTAAAAGTAAAACCTATCTAAAATAACCCATTAAGGGTCTCCATATTCGGGCCTGCGCAAAACAGATTATTCCCCCGCATGACCAGGTCATGAAATACCTAGTAAACAAAAGGGCATGTTTGTAGATAAAGAACTGAATCAACAATATTTACCTGGGAGTGGTTTTGTTGTTATCTACTTCGAAATAGAAAGTGTGTGTACGATTCAGACTGTATGATTTTTGAATCAAAGCAAAAAATAAAAAATAAACAAGAGGGCCATGATGGCCCTGAGGTCGCTCACCTGTATATAGGCCCCCCACACCCAACCCACATCCCCCCCCCAAACGTTGCAGGGCCAATTTAACCAAAGGGCTTTTATTTGCACAAACTTGGTAGACACCCATAAGAAGATGTTTCATGCTAAACATCTAAGCTCTAGCTCATTGGGCTATTTAAAAGAAGATTTTTTTTAAAGTTTTTACTATACACATATAGTTAAAAACCATTACACCCCTGGGGCCGGGCCAGTTATGACCCCAGGGTTTTTATTTGAAATCACTTTGTAGACACTTACTAGAATATGTTTCATGCTTAATATCTAAACTCTAGCTATTTGGGTTTTTTCAAAGAAGATTTTAAGTTTTTGCTATACACATATAAGGAAAATCAATGACCCCGGGGCGGGGCCAATTTTGACCCCAGGTCTTTTATTTGAACAAATTTTGTAGACACTCACTAAAAGATGTTTCATGCTTAATATTTTAACTCTAGCTATTTGGGTTTTTTCAAAAAAGATTTTTTAAGTTTTTGCTTTACACATATAAGGAAAATCAATGACCCCCGGGGCGAGGCCAATTTTGACCCCAGGGCTTTTATTTGAACAAACTTGGTAAACACCTATTAGAACATGTTTGATGCTAAATATCTTAACCATAGCTCTTTGAGTTCTTTAAGAGAAGATTTTTTAAGTTTTTACTATATGCATATATAGGGAAAATCAATGACCCCCCCGGGGCGGGGTCAATTTTGACCCCAGGGCTTTTATTTGAACAAACTTGGTAGAGACTTATTAGAACATGTTTCATGCTAAATATCTTAGCTCTAACTCTTTTGGTTCTTTAAAAGAAGATTTTTTAAGTTTTTACTATATGCATATAGGGAAAATCAATGACCCCCTGGGGCGGGGCCAATTTTGACCCCAGGGCTTTTCTTTGAACAAACTTGGTAGACACTCACTAGAAGATGTTTCATGCCAAATATCTAAGCTCTAGCTCTTATGGTTTTTTAAAAGAAGATATTTAAAGTTTTTTCTTTCGGTTGCCATGGCAACCAGAGTTCTGCATGGAATTAAATTCTTTGAACAATTTTTAAAGGTGACCACCAAAGGAACATTCCTGTGAAGTTTGGATGAAATTGGCCTTGTGGTTTATGAGGAGATGTCATTTAAAGTAAAAGTTTACGGACGACGGACGGACGACGGACGCCGGACGAAAAGCGATCACAAAAGCTCACCCTGTCACTTTGTGACAGGTGAGCTAAAAAAATATTTGGCAGGAATAGCTTTTGTCCGGTAAACTGATTGTCCGGTAATATGTAGGACCCCAGTATATCAAAAATAGTATTAAAGACCACCTCAGAATAACGATCACCTTGTTAATAAATCCACTCTTAAACCATCATTTGTAAAATAGAACATAGTAGCCTCCAAATAAAGACCACTTGTAAAGGACATTTCAAGTCTCTTTTCCAGATGGACTTTGTTTCACAGGTTTGACTGTACACTGCACTAACATTAAACATAAAATTCAAAAAGTGGCTTATGATAAGTTATAACATTTGCGTTATAAGTTTATGTGAATTGACAACAAACATCAGATTCTTTTTATTTTGTATAAAATGATAATGTCAAATATGGGACAAAACTATTGTTTCTTGGCCATTTTTATATCAAATATGAATGATAAAAATATCTTTTATGAGTAGCATGTTTTTATCAACAAAAACCTAGTGTCCTCCTCTATACACAGACTTCACGCACATTTCAATGTGTGAAGAGAAGACGGTCACACAATTTGATTAAATAGTTACATTACAACAATAAATAAAACACAATTATCACAGACTTTTGTTTAAAATGTAAAAGAGTACAAGTTAAAGAATGAAAAATTTACATTTTCTGATATGTATTAATTATTGTCCAGAAAATATGACAATGAATTAGTAGAGAATTGTCTAGAAAGCAGCAAAAGTCCTGTTTTGAAATTATATGTACCACACTGTATCTTTGAACTCCTAATATAATTGAAACTGTTCCCAACTTGTCAAATTTGACCATACCTTCACTTTGTATGAATTTTACATTCTCTATAAATTAAAACATGGTAAATTTCAGTTCCTTTCTGTCCATCATTTACATTCCAGACAGGTCAACACTACATTATACATGTATACTATTTCATAGCCTATTAAATGTCTATCTCTGTCACTGTAGCAGCTGCCATTTAGCGTAAAAGCTTTTATCTACATGTATATCTCACTACATCAGTGTCCTTTATATAACTGGGTAATGAATCTTCATGCTCAACTTTCTACAGTTACCTGAAATAAAATAATAAAATATCATTAATGCAAATTTGTATCTCCAAAACTTGATTACTTATTAAAGCAGCATGCTTCCACATTCATGCTAATTTTTATGAAAATTTTGAAAATGTTTTTAACAGTAAAATATTGTGAAGTGAACAAAAAAAGTAATTTACACATTGCAAACAGCACTCACAATCCACATAAATTACCTACAAGAGGTCAAAATGTGCAAAAATAGCCCTTCCTAGTCGTGCAGTAGAAAAATGGTAATAAATACTCCAAAATCAGTCATTTATCCCACAGAACATGTAAATAATTACATGAATCTTTTTACTTTCTTAAAATTTTAGTATGTTTTTCTCAAGTTTCTCAGAATATTTTGGCTCATCCAGAGGCATGCAGCTTTAACATGTAGCTATTACCCAGGACATTAGCCATCTTTAGTGTCATTTCATCTATTTCTAGTTATTTCAGCCATAAGTAGTGTTATTTCAAACATTTTGATAGTTTTCCAACTATTTTGAGAGTTATTTCAACCATAAAGTGTATTTTTTAACTCAAATTTTGGTAATGGTGCAGCAAGTCAGCCACCTTTTACCAATGGTCAATAATAACACCATTTGTTATTTTTACATTCAAAAAGTTCCAAAAATTTATTTTTATGTATCTTAGACTATCTACTCAAATTCATAAACATTAATTAACAGAAAGTAAAAGAGAATCTTAAGAACATTTTCTTAATATTCATAAATAACCACTTTTACATTTTGAGAATGAAAATAACATAAAGTATAACAATATAAAGGTGCAGGACAATTTTTGCAATGAATAAATTGACATCATCATTCAAACTTTTCTCTAGACAGAACAAATACAGTAAAAACTCTGAAAACCGGACCCTGTCCGGAATTGACCAAAAGTCCGGTTTTCAGAGGATTCCGGTTTTCAGAGGTTTTATACATTTATTGATAATTATGATGTGTTTGAACAATGACTTTGTTAAATCACTTTGTATTTACTTTTCAAACCTTTTGTCTCAGTCATACTTTAATTTCTTTTTGCAAGAAATATCTTGAGTAATTTAATTATGCAAATCCAATAATATAATTCAGAAAATCAGATATAAAAACAACATATTGTCTAAAATATATCATATCTTTTTCATTGGCTTTGGAATATGTAATTAATGGAATTTAGTATTACTATTTTTGCATATGATTAATTTCCAAACAAAGATAAATTCAATATCAAATTTTTAAGCAAAACAGGAATCATTTAACAAAAGTTTCCTAATTCTTTTAGACATTTAATATAAAAAAAAAATTAAAAACATTTTCAAAAATCATACCTATACAGGGAAAGACTTATGATGAAAGAGCTATAATTTAATTGCCAATAAGAAATTAACACACTGAGAAGTGTTTTCACACCTTCATAGGTAACGAGAGGTGATAATTGAACATGTCACCTGTTGAGATTATGTTTTAATCTACATTAAAATACACAGAAAGTTGACACTTGAAATTGCTGTCCGGTTTTCAGAGGATTTTTTAAGCATGATTATCATTAGTAGCCATAGAAAATCGTCCGGTTTTCGGAATTCAGAGGTTCCGGTATTCAGAGGATTTTTTTCAATGAACTTATAAGGATAAAATATGGGACTTTTGAAATTGTCCGGTTTTCAGAGGATTCCGGTATTCAGAGGGTCCGGTTTTCAGAGTTTTTACTGTACAATGTTAACATACTGGTGGAGGTGTTTTCTGTGAGAGGCAGTAAGGTCCTATAGCATTAAAGGAGACTTCTTTCATATCTACAGGTTTATGTGTCATGTCTGATGACAGCAGCAAGGCGAGGATTCCACGCTTTGTTAACTTCTGTAGCTTAAATCTCTCTATCTCTTCATGTCTTCTCTGAAACATAACAATATCATGTCATATCATATCATATCACTTCATATCACATCATATCTTGTCATATCATATCATAAAACAGATATAATCATAAAAACTTGAATAATTATGCCATCAGAATTATACTGTATGTATGGAGCCAAGCATGCCTGTCATGCTCATACAGTCTGGCCAGAAATTTGACTGCTGCATTCTCGATTTCATTATTTTGTAAAATCATAAAATTGTGAAATTCATGGAGGACAGTTAAAACCAGAACAAACCCATTATGAAAGTCAACATAAAAAGTTTTCTAGAAAGATAGTCAAGCAAAATGAATACCCCCTCCTACCCAATCTAGCCACCACAGGATTTTTAGTGGCCAAGCAGCTTAATAGTGGTTATATTGAAATCTAGTCACAAAATGGCCAAGCAGCTTAGTACATGTAGTGGTTATATTGAAATCTAGCCACCAAGTGGCCAAGCAGCTTGGTAGTGGTTATTTTGAAATCTAGTCACCAAGCAGCCTTGCAGCTTAGTAGTGGTTACATTAATATCTTGCCACCAAGTGGTCAGGTAACTAAGTAGTGGTTATATTGAAATCTAGCCACCAAGTGGCCAAGCAGCTAAGTAGTGATTATATTGAAATCTAGTGGCCAAGTAACTTAGTAGTGGTTATATTGAAATCTAGCCACCAAGTGGCCTTGCAGCTAAGTAGTGATTATATTGAAATCTAGTGGCCAAGTAACTTAGTAGTGGTTATATTGAAATCTAGCCACCAAGTGGCCAAGCAGCTAAGTAGTGATTATCCAGCCACAAAGTGGCCAAATATCTTGGTAGTGGTTATATTGAAATCTAGACATCAAGTGGCCAAGTAGTGGTTAAATTGAAATCCAGCCACAAAGTGGCCAAATATCTTGGTAGTGGTTATATTGAAATCTAGACACCAAGTGGCCTTGCAGCTAAGTAGTGATTATATTGAAATCTAGTGGCCAAGTAACTTAGTAGTGGTTATATTGAAATCTAGCCACCAAGTGGCCTTGCAGCTAAGTAGTGATTATATTGAAATCTAGTGGCCAAGTAACTTAGTAGTGGTTATATTGAAATCTAGCCACCAAGTGGCCAAGCAGCTAAGTAGATGCTATATTGAAATCTCAAGTTCATGTTAAAATAAAAATACATTTACTCATTATAAGACATGACAGTCTTACAAACACACCCTGATTTAACATTTCAAATTTTCATCTAAATTTGATATATAAATAAAGACATATCTACCTCTTCTACATTAATATCACAACTTTTATATGGTGGCAATCTGGCTGAATGTAACAGCGGGTACACTGACTCACTGATCACTTTCTTAAATGTGTCCTTCATAAACTCAGCATCCCTCTGAAATATCAAACACACATACAATACATTAGAAACTGTTTGTACATTTGCGCATGACTTAACTTCGTTTTTGAGACACAACACTCGACATATGGCGACGTTCCAGCTTTACTGTTGGAGGAAGACCGCAGGTGCCCTTCCATGCATTATTTCAGGCACAAACAGGAACCTGAATAGAACCACCGACTTTCTGGTCTAGACTTTCTCAAGTCTAGCTGGATAGCTTCCTCACAGGGGCCGCCCCTACAATTTTATGTAAGCTATAGTGTTGCTTTCAAGACAATAATATATTAAGAAAATTCACCTACATGTATGTTACACAATAAACAATGGTTCAAATCCATAATGTTTTAGCTCAATGACCATAACAAGCAAGTAACCTCTGCCTGACCATTAATTCTTGATAATTTTAAAGGATTTTCACATGATTTACAAAGTGATTTAATGTCAAGTTTATAATGATAATTACTGGGTATATATATTTGACGTTTTATTGCAACATATACACAGATCAAGTTTAGTCACTCCACTCAAAATGTAATGTGAAGCTTCGGTTGTTATAGCTACGACTTTTAATTATTTTAATAATTTACTTACAAGCAACATGTTTCCGATAATTTCTTTAAACTTAAAGAAAATATCCATTTGTGAATATTCATATATTCAGAAATAACCTTTTTTTGCACAGATGTCCTTTACGTTAACATACACCATATTCTTGGGAACATAAAGATTTCTAGCAATCCTAAGATTATAGCCAAAATAGTTCAAGAGAGCAAGATATACAAGCTTGTTGATAAAACTACCAGTCTTACATATAAGATCATCTCTGACAAGATAAATTGTACCCATATATCGAGCGTTGACTGCAAAACTGCAGTAACTTAAATAAAATAAAGAAGGACTTTCAACAGTTTTGTAATCAACCCAAGGTATGTGATGGTTAAGTGATTAAAAGTCAGTGTTTAGCTATACAGAACAATAAAATTTCAAAAAAAAAAAATTCTAAAAATGGTATTTAATACAAGAACACCGCATGGGGTGTTAACGCTTTTCTGTTTAAAATTTAAGTAAAAAAATATTGCTTTCAGAATGTCTGACAACTACACCTTATCATGATAAGCAAGTATTACATTTTTCATGTCGATACTTTTTAAAATGTTTGCATAATGGCTACATTAAAGTTTTTGGAGTCAAAAATTTTGCTCTACTTAAGCATATTGATAAATCATAAAAAGCAATTGAGATTGTTTTACCAAAAATCCTGGAAATATAAATAATTTATTTTCTCTCCTCCCTCAAAAGCATAGTAAAACAAATACCCCTAATACATCACTAAAACATTGTCACTGACCCTCTTGATCCCATTTTGCCCATAAATTCATATATTTAGAATAAATAACATTATCTTTATTATGCTTCTTATGGTCAAACATGTGATGATTAAACATGGTAATTTAGTAATAACTTAAAGCCAATTTAGCAAAAGAAGGTATAAAAATGGAAATATTGAATCTGAAAAGTGAAAAACAGTGATGTATAGTCATGCAAATAAACAAACATTTTATTTGGAGAGGTTGGGTATAGGAAAGGGACATAAATGGGAGGAAAACAGTTTTAATAAAATGTATTGAACAGGGAAATCAACAACAAAATGTCTAGAATGAACGTGTCAAATAATAATAATGTTATGTAATTATAACTTGCAGTAAACTTGTCACTAGTTAACAGACAAACCCGACAAACAAAATTTTTTATACATTTAAAATTCATTCATAAATTAATTTTTGTTTTAAAAAAACTACATTTTCTGAAGATTTCTTTGTTTTTGTGCTGTGACTTTATTGGATTAATTAAGACACAATCATTCAAACAAAAATATGGAAAATTCATCTTACCATGTTCTTCAAACAAAATAAAACAAAGAAGTCAATGTCTTTCAAATAACAACATAAATGACCAGAACAGAAATAAATACCAATGTGCCCTGGATAATGTGAAAGATTTGCAACTGTGACTTGAAGTCACAAAGGTCTTGCACTCTGTCTACAGGTTCTACCTTTTAAATTTTCAAGAACATAGAATACAGTCAAACCCGTATATCAAACCTAGTATAGGGAACAAAAGATGTGTTCTATGTTTACTGTTCATCTCTCAGAAAGTAGTTTTGTAAAGTCAGTAATTTCGGACAATAACCAGGTAATGGAGGTGTAACTAGGTGCCATTCAGTGACTACTTTCCAACATGTGGCCTATATTCAGAGGTGGTCTTTCACACTGGTTTGACTGTACCGGTATATCAAATAAAATGTTCTACATTTACAACATAACTTTCACCTTAAAGCATCATATACATGTATACCATACTAAAAGCAATACTACATGTACATACACAATTTACAATCAATATTTAGGAAATATAACCATGTAATTCCAATATATATTTATTTCCGATAATTTAATCAGATTGTTTCAGGCAAAGACTTCAAAATTGCGGTCTTGCAATTAAAAAAGCAAAGTAAGATATTGTCCACTGAGGAATAATAAATTCATATTGGAATTATAAGGAGTAAAATGCTTTTTGTTCTGGTATTTGTACATGTATAAACACTGCTAGATTGCCTGTGTAATGTTGTAGGGTGTTATAAATATTAATATATTCTATTGTTTTTATGTATAAGTAAACATGGCTGTAACAGTAACATTTAATATAAATTTAGTCCCTTGGATATTTATTAAATGTCAAGCCACTTTTCTTTTCTGTTATGAAAATATGAGCCGCGTCACAACAAAACCAACATAATGGGTTTGCGACCAGCATGGATCCAGACCAGCCTGCGCATCCGCGCAGTCTGATCAGGATCCATGCTGTTCGCTATCTACTTGTAATAGGGTTTGTAAGCGAACAGCATGGATCCTGATCAGACTGCGCGGATGTGCAGGCTGGTCTGGATCCATGCTGGTCGCAAACGCACTATGTTGGTTTTGTCATGACGCGGCTCTTATGTTCTCAAGATAGGAATAAGTTAGACCAATTTTAGATGGTAACAGAGACTTCAAAGCTCTGCCTATGGGACTTTGGGATTTATTTTCTTATATAACGTTCCTTTTACGTACCTTATGTAGGGTCTATTAAAGTAGATGTCTGTTTGGTATGTTTCCATCATTTCCTTTGTTATTTAACATATTAACTGATGAAGCTTATTAAAGTGATACATGTTTTGATAAATTGTACTGGTTTTTGATCTTTTTATCCCAAGAACAAGTCTAACATATACAATAACACCAGAATTAAGCAGTTTAATCCTAATTTATTTCTATGGTAACTGAACATTTGACAACAATCTAGCATAACGGTAAGCTGATATATATGAGATAGTTTACCCTTCGTGAATACGCAGAAAATAAATGATTCTGAAAAAATGTGAATAAATTTACAATATTTCTAAAACTAAATTTCTGAAGCTGCATCACGTGTTTTCAAAAGATATTAATGTCATTTAAAACAGTTGTCTTTGCAAATTAATTGTTATTCTTATCAATTTTTTTTACCACTCCCAGTGCAAGGAAACCAATAAAAATTGTTAAGATTTTGTAATTTTTGTTGATTTTGTTTATTTGTTGGATTTCAGGACACTGTAAAAGCCATTTGTTGACTTGCTATATTTACTTTAGGAATAAGACGTAAGGTGCTCTCCATGCATCACTTCAGGCACAAGCTGACACCTGAGTAGAACAACCAACATTTTATTTTGTTTAAACCAGAGCATTTAATTAAACAATACAAAGTTGATAAAAAATATTAAACATACTCATTCACAGTCTTAGCTCAGTACTCCAAGACTGCCAGATTAACATTATTTACCACAGAACTTATTCGGAAAACTCAAAAACCAAAAATATAGGTGAATAATTATGCCGAAAACTAAGAAACGGCCAGAGAAAATGTATTGTTCTAATTTTTGCAAGCATTTGGACAGTAAACTTCTGTCTTTGTGCATTTTTTTGCTTTAATCCCAAAGACATCTCTTCAAAATATAAGATGTCCATAAATAGTTTTAATAGTTTCAACTTCAATTTGATAAAATCTGGTGCATGAAAGTGCAGAATGACCTGATTTAACAGTACTGTAATGGCATTAGTAACAGGTCAAGTCAATATCATTTCTAACACTTCTAATGTAAACTTAGCAATATAAACAATCACAATCATACTTCTACTGTATAATTTCTATGTTATTATCTATAAGTATTAAAATTATAAGGGAAAGTAAAAATTTCAAAAGAATAACAATGATTATCTACTAAAACAAACTATTCACTTATACTATTTTTCACGATAAAAACCTTTGCACAATATGGAAAAAAAGTTACATAGGGAATGTAACATTAGTTACACAGGGAATGTAACATTAATAAGCTATACTGACCGGTTTAATCACTAAAAGTTGATTGCATAAAGATTTACTCCCATGAGCCTATGTCATATGTAGAATATTTAACTTTAGCTCAGACCATTATTATAGTTATGAACTTTTAAACAAGCACTATTATTATCTATAAAACCAAGCAACATCAATTAAGTTTTCTAAAGTTTAAAATTATCATGTTACATACCATATCAGCTCTACGTATCCCCTTCAACTTTTCTATCCAAGAGTCCTGTGAATAAATATAGAAACATTACCAAATACCAGAATTACACCACTCAAGGCTAGAGTGGCTAACACGTCAGACTAGTAATCAAATGATCGCTAGCCGCATGGCTTCAAACCCCATCAGAGGCAAGTTGTTGTTTCCTTGAGCAATAAACTTTACACTCATTGCTAAGTTGGTTGCAGGAACTGATCTAAATGTGTGTCTATCAGCTTATGTCTTCCAACACAATCAAACTAGTAAAATAAATTCTGTATAAACCATTTATGCCACTTGTGAGAATACTGTTTTTGAAGCTCATGCAGTGAAATAAAATTTCACTTCACAAATTTCCTCTATACATTATAATATTATCAAAATCAGGTGAAAAGCACAGTCAAATTTATTATACATAAATTCAAATCAGGTTAATGTTTTATATACTGAGACCTTAACCCAATGAACACTTACAGAAATAATAGCTTTTAATTTGCCTTAACCAGCAGTAGTTCAATCTTAAAACTCATTATCCTCATATAGTGACTTTCCAGATTAACTTGTGGAGAAAGACCTCAGGCACAAACGGGCACCTGAGTAGAACCACTGACATTCTGTGAGCTAGTTGTATGCTTCCTCGCATTAAAAAATCCAAAGTCCCTTTCAGGATTGGAATCCACAGTGCACAGTGGTGAGGGGCAAGTGCTTTAGAGTCAATGACTTTAACCACCTGGCCACTGATGCTTCCCCCCCCCCCAAAAAAAAAATAAAATAAAAAAAATTAATAAATGAATAATACAAACCCTGAGTAATTTCATCATATCATGCTGATCAGCTATTATTGGAAAGGTTGCTAACCATGGACTGTGTATAATCTCTGTAAAATACAATAGCCAAAAGTAACTTAATGAAACTAAAGGACATATTGTTACTGTGCATTTATCACTAAGTCTCAACAAAAGTTCAATATGAAAGAAATTTGGATATTTTTAAACATCAAAGGAAAATTAATGTATCTGTAAAATTTCTTCAACATAGAACACTTGGACCATTAGAAAATATAATCTATCAAACTAGCACTCGGAAAATGCTTAGACCAAGTTAGGGGTAACGAATCATGGCCACCTGTGAATATTTCAAGAAATGAAATAATCTCGGCTATCGCCTCAGTCAAAAATAATTTTTCAGTACATATCACATCATATTCACCAGCTAAAAAGTCCATATTTGTATAATATCTTATATAAACATAATTATATCATATATATATAAACATATATCTGATAAAAACATATACATTTGTACTGTATATATAAACATATACTGTATATTACCATATATCAAATATATAAACATATATCTTATATAAGCACATATCGTACCTGCTGATTCCAGATCAAGCCTATCTCTTAGTAAAGTGTCTGCCAATATTTGTCTATAATAACTATACATCTGTAGCAATGATAAGTTTCCAATCAATGTATCCGGCAATGTACTGTTAATAATAGAATTAAAATCTAAAATGTGGTTAGGGAATAATCATTGTGTAATTCAAATGGTGGAATGTATATATAGTGTCTAAGTATTAAAGAGCCTTTTTGTGCCTCTTTTATTCTTTAATGTTTTGGCAAATGTACGAAGGTGAACATAGAAGTATGTGACAAGGTTTTGCTTAGCTGCATACTCTTTACAGTAAATGTTGATAAATATATACATATTGTCACCTTAGTGCAGTAACAGGTTAGTTCCTGTTAAATTTAACAAGAGTAAGCCAGTCACTGCAATAAAGTTAAAATATATCTATATTGTGTGGGGTAAAGAAAAGGGGTAGGATTGGTTTTATGCCAAAGAGACAACGATAAGGACACAATTACATTTCTCATATGGAACTTTCTTATTTCATCCTGGTAGATCCACCACATTGTTGTACATTAGCAAACTTGATAGCTACCCCACATGTGAAGATTTATATTTAGATAAAAAAATATTGTTTAAATATTTAAGATTTAAGATAATATTTGTACATATATATGACAATGACTTACTCAATCAAATCCTTTTGCTCTTTTTTAGGGACAGAGAGTTTGACAGTAACTCTTGGCTGTTTGTTTCCAGAGATAAATGACATCAGAGCATTAGTGCTTGCTGAAAGAATAAAGTATATGAAAATACATAATATACTCTCACACTCTTTATTTGACCACTTTCCTTTAGATAAACATGTTTATGTACATGTATATGGCTAGGCTGTAGGATTGTAGGAATCACACTGTTACTTCTAGTGAGCCACAAAATAAGGCCAAGTATGCATGTTTGTGTCCACTCTTATCTGTTATTTCAGCTGTTTTCTCTTTTGTGTACAAATTACACTTTGGGTTACACTAGACTAACCTCAATTGTACTACTTGTTTCCTCATATGTGTTAACCAGGACATAAGGGAGAGAGAGCTAAGACTGACAGACTAACAAACTTTCTGATAAACAATAAGGAAATAAAGCTATCAGATATAATTTAATCAGTTGTAGCAAATTATTCTTATAAACAACATGATTTCAATATTAAACTAAGCCAATAAAGTTAAAGGTGTTAGGTATAAGATGCTTTCATTTCACTTTTATAATTTATCTGAACTGAACAGAAACAAAATCTGTTAACTAAATACATCCTTGACGACCTCCATCCCACATTGTTCTACATCAAACACATGGTAAACCATACATGTACAAAGACAGTCAACAAACAAAAATGAAAAAGAAGAGAACAAGAATAACAATAAGGTAATGAATGATACATAGTATTAATATCAGATTAAATTCAAACTAATGATTGCTTTCAATCACTTTTTTCAAGTTAAGAAGACAAATAACAGAAGAGTATAATATAATCAAATATACATTAACATATCAGTTAAACTGTTAAAAAGTTTGACATTTATAAAGGAAATAACTCAAGACTATCTGGAGCAATGCATAAGACACATGATTACAATATGCTATGAAAATTATCATATTCCTTGAGGATGCAATCAAGACAATTGCCAGGTTGGTAGAAAAGCATAATCACACAAATGTATATACATGTATACAGTATCACACAGAAAATACAACACACTTGAGTGAGTTGAAAACAAACAAAGAGAGCAAAATGGAAATTTCAACAAAGATTTAAATTTCCACCACTATCTTAGTGCCATAACAAAACCTCTGCATGGATCTGGCAATGTGGTAAATTTCCCCAACCACTGTTGTGGGTGGGAAAGAGAAACCAGGGAAGGTGCCTGATATTCAAGATGGTTGTTTGTGTAGTATTTTTAACCAGATTTAGAGAGAGAGAGAAACAAGAGCTGTCCGTAAGACAGCGCGCTCGACTTTTTTATTGCTTGCCAATAAAAAAAGTTTTTGCAGTAAAAGGCAATACAAGAATCTCTGTATTTTTAAAGTGAACTAGTTGTTTGATACCCTTGAATATTACAGCAATGTTTATATGACATAATTTATGGTAAAGTGAACAAGTGGATAGGAATGAATTTTTTTAGATTTTTTAAGTTTTTTAGTGCTTGCCTATAATACAAAACATTGACAGTTAAGGGCCATAATTCAAATAAAATCTTTGACAGAATTACCTTCTCCTGGACATGTTTGGGAATCATGATTGTAAACAAGTATTCCAACTTTCAAATTAATATCTCAAACAGTTCAGTCAAAAAGTGGACTGGTACTAAAAACTTAACCAAGATTCTAAGTCGATAAAAGGCCTTAATTTTTAAAACAAATCCTTGACAGAGTTACCTTCTCTTGCGTACAGATGGGGGTAATGATGTGAAATAGCATTAAAAGTTTCAAAGCAATATCTCAAAGGGTTAAGGCAATAAGTGGATTTTACCCATATTCAATGTATTTTCTAAGTCAAAAAGGGGCATAATTCTGTCAAAAACCTTGACAGAGTTATGTCCTCTTGTCTGTTGATGAAGGTCGTGATGGTAAACAAGTATGGTCAGTTTCAAAGCAATACCTCCAATGGTTTTTGAAATAAAGTGAGGTGGTACAAAAAAACTTAACCAAGCTCAATACACTTTCTAAGTCAAAAAAGGGCCATAATTCTGTCAAAAACCTTGACAGAGTTATGTACTCTTGTCTGTAGATGGAGGTTATGATGGTGAACAAGTATGGTAAGTTTCAAAGCCATACTTGTAATACTTCTGAAATAAAGTGGGGTGGTACGAAAAACTTAACCAAGGTGTGACGCCAACGCTAACGCCGACGCCGACGCCGGGGCGAGTAGGATAGCTCCCCTTTTCATAGAAAAGTCGAGCTAAAAAAACATTGAAAAAGACAGAATATCATCACACAAGTGTACACAGTACAAAACTCAAATAAACACAGTGAATATAATCATATGTACATTTGTTTTACAGTTAAGTATTCTCCTGCATATAAGTGAGAGCTTTTCCAAACAAATCTAATGATTTAAAACCAATTGTGAAATTGTCACAATAGATAAACGAGTCTGAGATGGTTTACTCGTTATCATATGTAAAGTAATTAAATCATTATGCAAAACTGGTTTTAATTTTACAATGTGGAAATATTTGCAATTTTTTGGAGTAAAAATTACTGGCACATATTTGAGTATGCCAAAGTTTTCATTTCAGAGCAAATGTGGTGTGATAATATACCATTACACCAGAACCCACCAGTGACACTGTGTAATCTATATCCTGTTAAAGGGCCGCTATAGAATATCTCCTTAATTAGACATTATTTAACAATGTGCTGCTCAGTTAATCTACTATACATGTATATTTTAAGGTTCGGTGAATTCACTAATTATTTTCTTTTTACCAAGTGTAGTTAACATTTGTCACACATAACAACTGGCTTTCCAACACCATTGCAATCTCGTGTAAGATCTACTTGAATGTAATATTCATAACACAATATACAGACATTGTTAAGATTGTATAGGCTAAGCTTATATACCATTGACATACTCACCAGTACCTAGGTAAAACCAAAATATAAAATATTTTTTAATAAAAATGTGACAAATTCATATCAAAATAGATTTAATCCTATTCCTCAATAAACTACATACACTAAACTCCAACTTATAACAATATTGCTTATAATGATATACCGCTTATAATGATGTGTTAATTGGTTGTAGCGGTCCTATGAATATGGTTACAAGCAGAGTTTACGATATCTTAAACTCCATCTATATTTATGTTTTATGAGTTATGAACAACTTATTCAGGTTTCATACATTGAGGCAAGTCATCTTACATCAAAATGAAGCATGCATAAGCAGGCAAAATATAAATGTATTCCATAACAAGAGCTGTCACAGGAGACAGCGAAGCTCGACTAATAAAATGCTGGACGCAGTAAGGAGGACAAAACTATGAAAGAAAAATCAATTATGTATAATTAAGTATTAAGTTATAGTAAAAATATAACATTTGTTAACATAAATTCCAAGAGCAAGGGGAATAATTCTAGAAATAGTCATGCAAGAGTTATGGACCTTGCCACACAACATTTGTGTAATGATAAGAAATATATATTTGAAGTTTGAAGTAGATATCTTAAAAAATAAAGAAGTTATTATATTTCTTAAAGAAAATTCTAAGTTCAAATGGAGATAAATCTGTAAATATTGCTTCAAGAGTTATGAACATTGTCACATAAAATGTAAATGATTATAAGGAATAAGTATTTGAAGTTTGAGGTAGATACCTTTAAAAATAAAATAGTTAAAATAAAAAATAACATTTTTCTAGTAAATAAATCTAAGTTTATGGGGAGATAATTCTTGCGATATTGGTGCTAGAGTTATGAACCTTGTCACATAAGATGTGGATGATGATAACGTAAATATATTTGAAGTATGAAGTTGATCCCTTTAGAAATAAATAAGTTACAGTAAAAAATAATATTTTGTATGGAAAATTCTAAGTTCAAAGGGAGATAAATCTAAAAATATTGGTGCTAGAGTTATGAACATTGTCACATAAGATGGGGATGATGATAATGTAAATATATTTGAAGTATGAGGTTGATCCCTTAAGAAATAAAGAAGAAACAGTAAGAAATAGTATTTTTTGAGGAAAATTCTAAGTTCAAGGGGAGATAAATCTGAAAATATTGGTGCTAGAGTTATGACCCTTGTCACATAAGATGGGGATGATGATAAGGTACATATATTTGAAGTATGAGGTTGATCCCTTTAGAAATAAAGAAGTATCAGTAAAAAATAGTATCTTTTAAGAAAAATTCTAAGTTCAAGGGGAGATAAATCTGAAAATATTGGTGCTAGAGTTATGAACCTTGTCACATAAGATGTGGTTGATGATAAGGAACATATATTTGAAGTTTGAAGTTGATACCTTAAGAAATGACAAAGTTATAGTGAAAAATATTTTACTGCACCAAAACTTTAATCTAAAATCTGGACGAGGACGCGGACGCCGACGCCGGGGCGAGTAGGACAGCTCTCCATATACTTCGTATAGTCGAGCTAAAAATGTCATCAATTTAAATACTGAGAGGTTTATTAACTAGACAGCAACAGAGAATACAATAAACATTTTCAAGGGTTAGTTTTTGAAGGGAATCAAATGTTATAAAAGAAGATGATTCCATGATCAAGGACATGATAATTGTAACATGATAGTGTGACTTACTTCTGCGACTGATACTGGGATCGACCTCAACCCCCTTTTCATATGGTGTACCTCCATTCATATACAGATCATATGTCCTGGAATAGTAAAATATATACAGTGAAAGTTGAGAAAACCGGACGGCTTTCGGACCTAGGGTTTTGTCCGGTTTTCTCAGCAGTCCGGTATTCTCAATGTCCTCTTCAGCTATTCACTGAGCAATAACTTACAAAGGATGCTGAACGTATATTTGCATTTTTATGATCATGAGTAAGTATATTGCTTAATAAAGAAATGATAAAAATACAATACAATATGTTTTAATTGTTTTTGTCCCATTATTGCATATAAATACAATAAAATTTTGGTTTAAACGAACAGCATTTACCTCATAACGATTAAGTCCGATTACACCCGCATATGTTTACATTTGGGTAATGAATAATGATTAAACGAACATAGTTTACTTTGTTTGTTTATAATAATGCCCCAATTGTAAATATCGCCTATACCATATTTATCAGATAGAGATTTTTAGGGTAGGTCTCGGCAAAGTTTCACTGTCTTTAACTAATTTAAATTTGTCACTTAAAGACAGCTCTCGTCAAGTTCTTTTAGGCCATGGAATAGAACTTAGAGCTGATGAATGTCGTTTCCGGTGCGTTGTCATTTTGGGAAATGAATAGACAAAAAGCAATGCAGTATAATAATATTCTATTTTTCATTCATACTGATTTTAACTTATCAATTTCTCGTGCATTTTGGCATTTATATAAAACGGTTACATCTATACCTTACAATGAATCAAACTGTAAAAAGAGACAAAATTAACAAATCAGATAATCATTGTTCCGTTACCGCTCAGTTAGCGTATTAGACACAACCAATTGATAAGTACACAAGGTTATTCACACCTTCGTCGTCCGGTATTGTCAAGGTAATTGTCTATATAATGGACTTTTGATCCCCTCTCAACCGTCCGATATTCGGTTTTTACTGATTCCGGTATTGTCAATGTTAATACAATAGTTTAAAGAAGGGAAAATTTGGGACTGAATTATTCGTCCGGTATTTAGAGAGTTCCGATTTTCTCAGCGTCCGGTTTTCTCAAATTTCACTGTATATAAATATATTTAACTAAAAAACGAGGACGGTGACCCCCAAATTGTTTCTCTCTTAAAATGTTTCTGTAATCATATTCTAACATGCCAGGTTTAAAAGAAATTCAATAAAACAGTTTGAATTCTGCCTATATGTCTGTATGAAAACTCCCAAAAACGTCTTTAAATGACTTTATTACACTCCTGCAACATGGTTTATGTGATAACTTAGATGTTAATAATTATTGATGCTATCATTTTAAGAGTTTCAATTTACTTGTTATAGAACAAAGATTGCCTATGTAGCGTTGAATAAAGGTACACAACAGCTTTGCATTCAAATATAACAACTATTAGAATTTCAATGAAATTCAAGACAAATTTCTTTCTTTCTTTTTTACTCCCCCCCCCACCCCCCCCCCCCCCCCCAAAAAAAAAATCTTCATATTGTTACGCAGGATATATATAAGGAGCTTGACCAACTGTATCATAATAATGTGTGATAAATGTTATCAAATACTTCCTTGATGAACTAAATACCCTAGAAAATTATTTACAATATAAAAGTTACAAAACATGCCTGCGAGTGAATCTTACAAGTTCAGAACAAAATTCATAGTAAATTAGAATAAAGATTGAACCTACTTATTTTGAACAGGCTGCCCTGTGGTGGGGTCCTCTAATGGCAGATGTGTCCAACCACAGCTAAACTCTCCTTTTTCTTTTGTACTCTGAAATTCAGAAGAAATCATCTTATTTGCTCTGACTGCCTCATTTTCTTAAAGCAGTATACCTCCAGATTTATGCTTATTTTCATATAAAATTTTAAAAAATCTTTTTAAAAGTAAAATATTGTGAATTGAACAAAGAAAGTAATGTACACACTGCAAACAATACTTACGATCCACGTCAATTACCAAAAAAGAGGTCAAAATATGCACAAATAGCCCTTACTGTGTTACTCCCTACTGTGTTAGTAATGCAGTAGAAATATGATAAATATTGCAAAATAAGTCATGAATCGCACATAACATGTAAATTTTTACTTGAATCTTTTAAATTTTTTTAGAATTTTAGTACATTTTCTCAAGTTCGATTTTCATGAAATATTTTGGCTTGTCTGGCAGCATTCAGTTTTAATGAACTCACTTATAGTTCATATATTCTTTTATATCTCTTTTTGCAAATAGTCTGCTTGTCCACTGAGCCAAAGAATCAACTCCCCTGATGAAGCTGACAGAGTTAGGCAGGAAACAACTTACATTCAAATGGAAATAAAATTTAGACTCTTAATACTTACTGTTCTAACATACGAGGCACACATTTCAAACAGTATACCTAGAGAGAGATAAAGAAAAAAAATATTTAAGTAATATCATGTACTTTTTAATTATCTAACATCTAAATTTATAACATTTAAGGCATGAAATCTCTCTTGAGGTGAAACCTTTATTTGCTAAATGAATACTAAATAAGTTAAAAGGATTTCATAAAACATTATAAACATAATGACATTGCATACAGAGTTACTCCGGAATTAAGAATATTTTCAGTTTTCTCAGCTTATCCTTGATTAAATCAAACATTTTCAGTTACAAGTTGGAAAATAAGCACAACAGGTTAACTAATATATTACGAACAGTAGTGTAGTGCACCATAAAACTGTAATGGTTTATTTTAGGTTTTAGCTTAGAAAAACCCATATTTGCTGAGTTCTGTATAACAACTTTTTTTGCCTTGTAAATTAATACATGAAGTTTCAAATGTAACTGAGAGAAAAAAAATTCAATACTTAAATACAATCAACCAGAACCAACAGGTTCCAATATTCTATGATCATATTAGATACTGAAATAAAGGAAACATATCATACCTATATTAGGAACAATGTTACTGGTTCTTATGAAAACTTCACCATGCTGGTAGGTGTCCATCATGTCATTTACCTGGAAAAAAATACAAACATTTTAGTACATTAATTGTCAATAATACATTGTACTATAGTATATAAATAAATACATAAAGATTTAGGATTGAGTGTCATTACTTTATTAGTTCTAGATGAAAAAGTATGACAATGACTTGTCACAATATACACCACAACATAATATTTTGATATGATGGCAACAACCAAAGCATAAAGAATTGTAAAATTCAATATAATGACAAAGCCATAGGCATGAAAAATGCTATTCTTCAATGAGGAGAAACATTCATAAATTATCATATATCATTTAATCTACGATTAACGATAACAAGTATCACTGTCCTTAAACATTTGTATGAACAAGAGCATAGCAGACAGGCAAAACCTGGATTTCATTTATGACTTATCATTAAAGGGTCCATAACTCTTTCAAAAACTTGGTGGATTATGACCCTTATCAATCTTTAATCTGTATTTTAATATCATTTACATTTTGTTACATATTCAACATTATGCAAAATTAACTGAGCAGACATTTTCTTTTCATAATACTATTTGCCTATATGAAAGGATGCATAACTTATCTCAAATAAATATAAATATGAAACCAAAATTAAACTTGCATAGCTGCATATATGGAAAAAATATATGATGTGGAAACAAATTGGTTACTGACATTCAAATAGCACCAAATAATCACATTTTCAAAAGATACTTAAATTTATAAAAAAAAGCAACATGTGACTTTTTTTCAAAGCTTCTAGAATTAGTTAAATAATTGATTGTTATTATCTAGTTGCTATAGTTACACAAAACTCATCATGACAACAAACCTAATACAAGTATCAAATGATTATTCTTTTTTAGAACTCTACACAACAGATTATCCTACTGTTCATTATGATGAAATAAGCTCAACTTTTTAACAATTTTGCTCTATGTAAATGATGATTATAAAAATTTAAATAAAATATTGATGTATTTATTATAAGCAATGCAAGCAATGAAAAGAATTTGTATGCAACAAAACAGTTATTGAAGTATTTCAATCTTAACCTTTACTCTGCTGGAACAGAATGGGTATGGCCTTTTCCAGCTCAACTTGCACCACCATGCAGTCTGACCAGGCCCTATACTATGAGTGGCTCTATTTTTTTTTTGTATTTTGATATCAACTCCACTTTAACTTTAAATTGACCATTCCAAATACAAAGCTGGGTAAATCCATTATACAAATTAAGCAGGTTACAGGTTAATCAATTAAATTAAAGCACTGATAATGACTTGATTAAGACACCAGAATAAAGGCAAGTCAGTCGCCACATTGGTGTGGTCTGACCAAAGTCAGACAAATGAATTATACAAGTTATGTTATGGTTAAATAAAATGAAAAATCTTGAGGCAAACTGCAAAAATATTTTCTTTTCTTCTAACAAGTAACTCTCACCCAGTTACATTAATGTAATATGGAATAAAAGAGGCAAATAGAACAATGTACGGCCTAAATTCCTTCTGATTTGACACATTTCATTAATCCAAACATTTACTGCTTTTTAAGTATTATTTTATCACAAATTTAACAATACAGTTTTACAGACATAAAAAGTTAAAAAACATTTGACAAAAGTAAAACATTATTTTTTATCAAAGGGTAAGGTAAAATATACATGTATAGACACAGATTTAAGTCTAGTTATTCAACAACAAATGACAGAAAGCAAACATGTCCCTCACCACTGATGTTGGTAAACATTCAGATGCCTGTTAATGTAATCTATACTTAATGTCAATGTAATCTATACTTAATGTCAATGTTATCTATACTTAATGTCAATGTTATCTATATTTAATGTCAATGTAAACTATATTTAATGTCAATGTAAACTATATTTAATGTCAATGTAATATATACTTCATGTCAGTGTAAACTATACTTAATGTAAATGTATTCTTTATTGAATTTCAATGTAATCTTTACTGAATTTCAATTAATGTCTATCTCGATTGAATCTTTATTGAATTTCAATTTAATCTTTATTGAAATCTAAAGTAACCTTTTTGACTTTCAATGTACTTTACTAAATTACAAAGTAATTTTTATTGAATTTCAATGTACTTTATTAAATTACAATGTAATCTTTATTGAATTTCAATGTAACCTTTATTGAATTTCAAGATAATCTTTATTGAATTTCAATTGAATATTTATTTAATTTCAATGTAAACTTTGCTTTACATGGACTGCCATACACCACATCTTTAAATGTTTCATTACTTTTATGTCCACATTAGAGACAAACAGACCAAGGTCGACATTAGAGATATGTAAGTGGAGAAAAAGCCCATGTTGCTTTCATTAACTTTAAAACCATGTTAACAATAAATAACTTAAACTGATTTAGCCAGGTATATAACATTTATTTTAACACACAAGAAATGTATAATAAATATATTTCTTTGCAAATTGAAGTCAATCATTTTTTTACTTTTTTTTTACATTAAAGAAATCTTCATTTCATACACTCCTCAAACTTCTTTATACATTATTTTACACTCAACAAAAATATGGAAAAAAACAGTTTGCTCAGTGCATGAGTGATAATGAACCTAATTTTAATTATAATGTCACATAAAGCTAGGTTAAAATCAAGTGAAAATGTAACATACCAAATCTGAATTTAATATAATATAAGCTAGGCTAAAACTGTAAAAATGAAACATTTTACTACAACAATATAATGTAAAGTGTTCTCACCCTGGTGGAGAATGACCATGTTCTTTGTTCCCTGTCCACAGATGTGACTTTCACTGTATGGATGTTACTTAATATCTGAAAACAAAACATTTTTGACTATTGTACATAAAATTAAATAAAAGCTTTTTCCTTATTTACTTTAAACATATTCATTTTAATAAATTTTTCAACAGTTTTAAGTTTATTTGAACCAATTCAGAGTCTGCCTATTAGAACTAACCAGTTCAAGTGCCATATTAGGAATCAAAAGTTTGACTCTACAATCACTGGGTTGTAAGGCAGGCATCTACAAGGCTACCTATCCCTTTCTTAATTAACGATTAGTCTGCTGGAGCCAAACTGATTTTTCCCATTTGCAGAGAAAACTAAACAGTGGAAGTCAATGTTAAAGTTTTAATTTTCGTCAAATTATGTACTGTTGGACCTATTTTGATTAAATTATGAACAAGCAATTTTTATACTTACATTTTGACCATCAAATAAACACATTCTCACATGTCTGCTTTTTATCTCCAGTCCTGAAATAATCATTATAATTATATACATAAAATAATAATGAAAAATATAAAATACTGATTTATCTAATATTATCAAATAATCTATTGCCTGTAACAACAGATGCCAAAAAAGATTGTATAATGTTAATACATGTACCTATAATATCACACAACATTCCCTGCTCGCAATCAGGACAACACTTGTTTATTTTCTTACTTTGTTGCGCTGTCAGCAATCAGGACATAGAGTATGTCAAAGGACAAATGTTCAGCTTTATTATATTATTAAAGGAAAATTTATACAACATCGGGGTAAAAAAACAAAAGAGGCAAGCAAATAGCCCCCCCTCCAAAAAAAACCTTACCGCTTTGACTTTTTCTAGTGCTGATAGTAAAAAAATAGCGAAATGTAAAATTTTTTTATTAAGAAAAAAAAGGCCAAAAATTCTTTAAAATCGTGTTAGAGTTTTTTTTATGAAGAGATGTAAAATCTGTTTTAAGTTATTTTAGAAGAAGTATTTAACCCCCTAAGAAGGGTTCAAAACCTACAGAAATAAAGGGGAAAGTAACTAAACCAAATGCAAAACTTATATTTGGTACTTTTCATTCCAGTAAAATATATGTGTACTGGTTTGGGAGATAAACTCGGTCGAAAATCGGTGTTTTTGGGGCATATTTCATTTATTTGTTTAGATTCTGATGAATTGCACAATAATTAAACTTCAGCTTCTTTGATTTTTCCGGTATACCATAAAACGTTTAATATTTAGAAACATAACGGGTAATTTTTGAGAGGCCCCTGGAAGAGAAGTTAAAAAGGATTATTTTTAACGGCACGCGAGTAGATAATTCCGGCTCTTTGTTTTTCTTCTTAAACGAGTAAGTTAAAACATAAAATAACATGTTAAGACGTTTTATTATTTCTTTGCTGTTCATTTATGTCAAATAAAAAATATTTGTTACCAAAATTGTTGAGCATTACGTTAGTATAATGAATATAGATATGATAACATGATATTTATATGCAACATACTATGTAACATATAAATCATTTTTACGTAAAAAAAACACATGCATTATCATTTATTAACGTATAACGAAATATGTAGTTAAAAAATTAGTGATTCAAATTAATTTTGCTTAGCTTAACAGAGTGAAGAAGAAATTAATTTAGTGGTATTCAACCTACACATTAACATATAAAACGAGCATTTAACATCAGTCTTTCAATCCATTCCACTTAAAGATTACAATTGTGATATCAGCCTTTTTTCTGAGTTAGCAAGGCAAAAGTGAGTCTGAATTTCATCTACAAAATGTATACGTAAACGTTTGTCCTGCTTTATCGGTAGTAGTCGGTCAATATATAAAAGTACCCCTGTGCGGGCCTCAAAAATGAGCATCTGCTGCACATGCGCACAACAATGGGATTCCCCGTACTTTTTATAGGCTTGTTTTGTAAACAAACAGGTAAAAGTCTGTGTTATTTTTTAAATATCTTACCAAACTTGACAAAATTTCCAGATAATGTCGAATTCCAGCGATAGTATGAGATGGTGAGCTTGATTAGATTAAAAATTCCGATAACTCGATTTAATTATAAAAAGCCGAGTTTATCAACCAGCCGAAGTTATCTCCCCAACCAGTATGTTTTATGGGTTTATTTTCTTGAACACAATTAAATACATGGTAGAATCTTACTAAAATAGGACTTACCTGCCCCTGGTGTAGGGATCTGTCTACAATTTACAAGAGTTACAATTCTCTGTTCTCTTGCAATTTTGGCTCGAATCTGTCAAAATGAGATCACAAGTTAAATATTAAAGTACATCTCACTAATAGAGAAGAAAATGGAACTAATTGTTATTCAATGTTTAAGAATCATAAATCTATTATGTAGCAATCACAATATGCTTAAGTAAATATATATATTTTTTTAAATCAAAACAATTTACATACTAAAAAGAAACAATGAATTTAAAAAGAACTGTATAAATTAAAGTGAATAAAGCTGTATCTTTGCTGTCAACAGTTTACAAAATTTTTGTTTGTATTTTGGAAAAGAACAACTCCAAAATGCCTGTATGAAAGATATAAGTTGGTATATGTCCTTTTGAGCGAATATGCATGCACGAAATCATAAATGGTTAAAAACCTTTATAAAAGAGCAGCATAATATTTTGTGTCAGAACATTTTATTCTGTTTACACACATTTTCTTGTGTTCAATAGAAGAGACATTTAATGTTACAACTCTTATGAAAATTAAGCATACTGCATTGAAACAACATACTTTTACCATTTTTTGTAAAGTTTATACAAATATTTCATTAGATATAGCTTTACATGAATATACTGACCGAATGAATGAGAATAAAGAGGTTTATATGCTTGAAGTTAATTTAGTCAATTTGAAATTCTTACGTGACTATAAGTGTAATGTATCATTTAATTTACCTTGTTTTCACTGGGATCAAAGAAGAGATCTCTGTAGGAGAAATTAGAATTGCTCAGTTTTGGTGTGAGGTAATTCTTCATCTGATATATACTCTCTGTAATATATACATTAAGAAAAATATTTCATTGTTAAACCATGTACATATCATTACAATTTGCTTCTTCATATGAAGCCCCGATGAAAAACATGACAGTTATCTAATTTAAGCAGCAAATTTTCAAGTGGCCCTAACAGGATACCTGTGCCACTCATGGTTCCACCTCTTTTTGTTATTCTAGCATCATCCCTTCCCATTTTGTTATGTAACAAAATCATACATAGAAATAATTACCACTATTATTATTATCATATGTATTTAATTTGTCAAAATATCAAAGATTTACCTGAATTAAATTTCTGTCCTAAAGTTGAAACTCTGAAACCAGAGGGTACAGCTCCCATAGCATGTAATACATCTGTAACACTTGTCTACAAAATTATACAACACATATAATATGATTTTCATGACATTGTAAAACACCGTGCATGGTTTTTTGACTCCCAACAACATATAAACAATTGTTTTTTGTTAAGTAAGATAATTGTTTCTTGGTTGACAGCTGTGATTCTAACTAATCAATGTATTCATAAGTTCATTTAAATATACATTTTAAAATCATAAAAGACACACACAAATCAGCTAAAGCATAAATTCAAATGAAGAGTTTCCTGTAATTATGATAAATGGTTATCTTTTATTAATAAACTAATGAAATCACAAATAATAAAGAAGTTAAATAACATCACATTTTTCCAGCACAACATATTTATTCTCTACATTTTTATAAATCAGCTGTTACCATGTGTCAATCAAGAAATGCTTCACAAACAAAATCATTCTTTCTTTCTTGTATCAATATTCAATTAACCCTAACAATTATAGCAGCAGTACTTAATTGTTAACATCATTGAGAGTATAGAGAAAGAACAGTCAGCATATCTGCTCATTCTGACCAAGCTCTTCACTGTTTATAGCTCAATTTTATTATTTTGATGTAGAAATCCTTTTTAAATTAAAAAAGACTGTTATAACTTGTAAGTCTTTAATTTCACATTTACTTTACATGGCAAATAAGTACAAATGTAAGATTGTCATGCGTTTTCATTCCCTTATTTGTATAAGCAAAAGCACAGGATATAGCTTTTAAGTTCATGAAATGATTTAGCAGAAGATATTTGAAAATTCTTTTTTTTTTCAGCTAAGAAAATTACAGGTTAATACTTTAAGCTTTAGTGTACAGAAGATTTGTTAAAACATTTTATATTCTATGAAAAACACTGTGACCCATACATTATTATAATTATCATGTTATTGTTTTAAGTTTTGTATTCACATTCCAAAAGAGACAGAAAAATAAGAAAAAAACTGAAACCACCAAGAAGAAAGATATTTACAATATTTATATATATATAAACAAACATAAACATTATAACATTTCCATTGTTCGTTGTATAATACCACCACCTGTAAATATAGCAAACCATTTCCAAGAAACACATTTTCTCACACACATTATACATGGGAACACACATAAAGAAGGTATCCTAGCTACTTGATAATTCTCCAACACTAGTTTTAATTTAAATAGTTTTAATTTTTTGGGGTTTAAAAAAAACACACTGACACTGTAAAGGTTAGATGACGGCTTTCCAATTTTAATACGAAGACTTTCCAGTTTTCATAGGACAACTTTCAAGTTTTCATGGGATGATTTACAGTTTTCATAGGACGACTTTCCAATTTCATAGGACTACTTTCCAGTTTTCATATGACGACTTTCCAGTTTTCATAGGACGACTTTCCAGTATTCATAGGACAACTTTCCAGTTTTCATATGACGACTTTCCAGTTTTCATAGGACGACTTTCCAGTATTCATAGGACAACTTTCCATTTTTCATATGACGACTTTCCAGTTTTCATAGGACGACTTTCCAGTATTCATAGGACAACTTTCCAGTTTTCATATGAGGACTTACCAGTTTTTATAGGACGATTTTCCAGTTTTTATCAGACAACTTTCCAGTTTTCATAGGACGACTTTCCAGTTTTCATAGGACAACTTTCCAGTTTTCATATGACTACTTTCCAGTTTTCATAGGATGACCTCCAGTTTTTATAGGATGACGGATGACTTTCCAGTTTTCATAGGACAACTTTCCAGTTTTCATATGACAAATCTCCAGTTTTTATAGGACGATTTTCCAGTTTTCATATGACGACTTTCCAGTTTTCATAGGAAGACTTTCCAGTTTTCATAGGCAACTTTCCAGTTTTAATGGTAAAAATTGGTTCTCTTTTGTGCATTACATCAGGTACAAGTCTTCACCTGATTAAAATCATCAACTTTCTATAAGCTAGTTGGACAGCATAATTCCTAGTCCCTGGTGGGAAAAAATCGCATAGCATTACAACGCAAATGTTTTGAAGCAAGTGCAAGTCTATTCATCTTAGCTATACAGTTCACAAGTCAAGATTAGTATCACACAATATATGAGATTTAGGGGACCAAACTAACAGGGTGTTCTTAATTTCAGGGTGGTCTTAAGTACAGTTTCTATTGTATGTAATTTAGGGAGACCTTCTTAAAGTTTGACATAAATCTAAATTTAAATTATTTTAAAATATATAAATGAATTACAATTATATTTATTGTTACCTGCGATATATATTGTTTGTAACATATTGTAATACTTATCCTACATAAAATATGCTCATCTTTCTAAAAAAGCACTTTGCACTGTCATTAAACTCTTTTACTAATTGGCTTTGTAATGGCTTACTGATAGGGGTTGTAATGGTTTAACAAACAAGAGCTGTCGGTAGGACAGCACGCTCGACTATTCTAAGTGCTTGATAGTAAAAGAGCCTTGATAATGTTAAATTTTTTAAGTTCACAAAAGGACTAATTGTTTTTTATAAATTCATGTACTAGGCCTTAGAGAGAGTCTAATTATACAGTATTGGCTTGACTATTCGGAAGGTAATGTCACAAGGGTGTTTTATTGAGTATAATAATACTAATCACCTATGAATACATAAATTTGACAGAAAAGGTACAAAGGCTTGTTATTAAGATGCTTTATCAAGTAAATCACTGCTTTATTATTATGAATGCATAAAATTGTCCCAAAAAAGGCACAAACCCTTCAGTAGTTATTGAGCTTACAAGCAAAACTTTACCATGAATTTCTAAGTTGAAAAAGGGGAGAAAAATCAGCCTAAATGCAAGATAGAATTATGGATCTTTGTCAGTGACCTATAATTATGACCCTAAATGCATATGTGAAGTTTTAAATAAATATCTTTAATAGTTATTGAGATATGTAAAACTTGCATGTAAACATTAACCAAGAGACTAAGTAGAAAAGGGGATATGAATCAGCCTTAATGCAAGATAGAGTTATGGAACTTGGTCAGTGACATACAATTATGACCCTCCAATTATGACCCTAAGTGCATGTGTAAAGTTTCAAGTAAATATCTTCGAAGACCTTTAACCTTTAATAAAAATTTCTAAGTTTCAAAGGGGCAAATAATTCTGCAAATATTGCAGGCAGAGTTATGCAATTTTGCAAACTGATGTACATTGTTACTATAAAAAAGTATTTTAAATTTCAATTGAATATCTCAAGCAATAATTGAGATATTTGACTTTACAAAAAACTTTAACCAAAATTTCTAAGTTAAAAAGGGGCATAATTCTGTCAATATTGTAGGCAGAAGTATCCAACTTGTCAATCTGATGTACCTTGTTACTATAAATAAGTATTGTAAGTTTCAATTAAATATCTCAAGCAATAATTGAGATATTTGACTTTACAAAAAACTTTAACCAACGCAGACGCCGACGCGGACGCTGACGCCAACGCCGGGGCGACTACAATAGCTCTCATATTCTTCGAATAGTCGAGCTAAAAAGTTTGTAATGGCATACTGATGGGGTTGTAATGGTTTAAGAATGGGGATTGTAACAGATAAATGATAAGAGTTTATAATAGCATAATTAATAACGGAATTTGTAATGGCATAATGATGGCGTTTGTAATGGCAATACTATTTGAGATGGCTTACTGATTGGGTTTGTCATTGCTAAATAATGGAGTTTTTAATGGCATAACGATGGGTTTGTAATGGTATTTTATCAAGTCATTGACTTAATTTCAGTCAATATACTGTCATGAATTGGTAGATAGCCAACTGCCAGTTATTTTGTAGTCTACTGGTTACTGGTCATTAGTAATAGTAAAGATATAACAGATTATAAAGTATCACATCGTTCAGTCTGACAGAGGTGTTTTATTACCTTCAAAATGGGTGCATATGTTACATTACCTTTTTAGTCTGTGAAACCAAAAATAAATCACATAAAATACACATTTGTAAAAAAACAAAACAAAGCAAACAAAAAACAACCAATGAGAAAATATCAAGCTAAATACAGCAGTAATAACACACATATATTTTTCTTAGATTTAGGGACATCAACTGAAAACTTATATGTCACTTTCAATGTCAACATTATTTGTATGCCATATCTTAACTTTAGTTTTAGACCAAATATTAAAGCATGCTTAACACTTGAAATTAAAGAAAATGCCAGTAAATATATTGACTAATTTTAGCTGTTTTCTCATAAAATTGAAATAAATTCTAAGTGCGGAAAACTAATTATCTTCAGCAAAAAGCATGAACACTACTGTAGCTAACTATTGTAACTAAACTGAATATATAATTATCAAACTAAAAGCTCGGATTTTAAGGTGTTATAATGGACAACAGAAACATACCTCATTTACTGCTTTCTTTAAACTGCCCCACAGTTGTTTACCACTGTTAGCATGGAAATAAAACACGCAATCAACTCAAAGCAACTTTCACTCAAACAAAAATTAAAGGGAGGTAATGAATAGAAAAAATTATTACCTCCCCTTTTCAGAAAGCAAATTAAAAATTCTACCTACCTGTGAAAATGGAAACAAAGTTAAAGTATATGGTAATTCAATAAATTTTAGGGCGTTATTTGTTTTAGATGTTTTGTGCCAGAATGTTTCAGATTTTCCGTCGAACTGGTCCAAAATTAGGTTCAACCAAAATGACTAAAAATGAAACTGGATTTAACTTTAAACATACACATCTTGTAACTTTGTTTCCATAACAACAACATGCTTTGATATAAAAGAATTTTCTAGATTGATAAAAAAAAAGATGAATAAATCATTTAAGAAATTATAAATTCAAATGCCAAACTGATAAAAGGGTAGGGTCTTTTCATAAACAAGAAATAAATGATTATAAATGAGAGAAAAATAGAAGAAGACAACTTAAATATCTAGGATTGATTCCAGAAAATGATTATAATTTCTAATTTCCAAAGCATGTTGTAATATTATCCTGCAGTTTAGTAATGGAAATAAATACTAGTGGAGTTAGTAAATATAAATTTGTGTATAGTGTAACAGTGAGGTGGAAAACAGTATCTGTCACAAGGCTTACATTGTCTTTAATGTTTTTGTGTGATTTTTTCATTTTTTTACAATTAAAAAAGTAAAAACAAGAATGAATCAATGTTGTTGTGTTTTTTTTTTTTAAATAAAAAATTGTGAAATTTTAAGAATTTATCATTTATTTTGTTTTAAGTTTTTGAAAAAAGAAAAAAATCAAACACTTTAACAAAATAGAACAATTTTTCTATTGCCACTGCATTTTTTTATTCTACTCTATGAATATTCTAATCTATCCGAGGTTTACTGTACCTAATACAAAAGTTGAAAAACATCAAAAACCTCTACCTTACTGTAACTCCACATAAATATTATTTCCACTACCATAGTGCATATAAACAAAGGGAAACAACTTTCACAACTTTACACAAATAGCATCATAAATGACTATTGGCACTATATAAAACAATATTTTTTCTTTTATACCTCAATTTTTCTGTAAAATACATCAATTTTTATTAAAAAATGCATTAATCCTGAAAAATAATACAATATTTTCCAAAAGCTTTTAATTGCATGTCTAATAAATTCAAGAAAAAATAACTTGGGAACTAACAAAGGTAACTCTTATTTTGAAGCTGTGAAAGTTTGAGAATAAAGGAAAGTGAAAGGGAAAAAAGGTCAAGTATAATGTTTCAGGTGAAATTGACATAAAAATTGTCGTCTGCATCCAGCAGGGATATATCCATACCTCTTTATCTTTATCTCTATACAACAAAAACAACATTAATTAACAACGGTTCAAAATAGTGTGGATAGTTTGAGTATCTGACAAAAAAAAATGTTGTTGAAAAAATTCTACATGCAAACCATTTGGAATGACTTAATTTTGGGGGAAAAAAAACAAAAACAACAAGAGCTGTCGGTAGGACAGCAACGCTCGACTATTCTTAGTGCTTGATAGTAAAAAAAAATGCTTGATACAATTACCTCCTCCTGTTTACAGGTTGGGGTAATGATGGTGAACAAGTGTGCAAAGTTTCAAAGCCATATGTCAATGGACTTTGAAAATATTTGAACTATTACAAAAACTTTAACGTAAATTCTAAGTCGAAAAAGGGGCATAATTCTGTCAAAATGCTTGATACAGTTACCTCCTCCTGTTTACAGGTTGGGGTCATGATGGTGAACAAGTGTTCAAAGTTTCAAAGCCATATGTCAATGGACTTTGAAAATATTTGAATATTACAAAAACTTTAACGTAAATTCTAAGTCGAAAAAGGGGCATAATTCTGTCAAAATGCTTGATACAGTTACCTCCTCCTGTCTACAGGTTGGGGTCATGATGGTGAACAAGTGTGCCAAGTTTCAAAGCCATATGTCAATGGACTTTGAAAATATTTGAACTATTACAAAAACTTTAACATAAATTCTAAGTCGAAAAAGGGGCATAATTCTGTCAAAATGCTTGATACAGTTACCTCCTCCTGTCTACAGGTTGGGGTCATGATGGTGAACAAGTGTGCCAAGTTTCAAAGCCATATGTCAATGGACTTTGAAAATATTTGAACTATTACAAAAACTTTAACATAAGTGGTTACGCCGACGCGGACACCAACGCCGACGCTGACGCTCGGGTGACTACAATAGCTCTACTTATTCTTATCGAATAGTCGAGCTAAAAACAAAATATTGTTGAATCTAAGAACATGCATAGTTACATTAATAATTTAATATGACAACACAACTTTTACTCATTGGACCATAAAATACCACAATCTTGATGGATTTGAATGAAAACACAAAACTAATATAAGGGTATGGAATTTTGTAATCCTTTCTTCAGTTTAAATTTGGTCAACCGTAAGATATTCATTTAACTATCTCACTACATTTTAAAAAAAAAAAATTCCAGAATGTGATATTTCTTTATCTACAAGCTAAATGGAGGAAAGTTTGAGGAAAGATTACCGTTACAGTTCGAAATATTTTATCTATAGAGAATATTAATTGAATAAATTAGTATGCCAGTCTTACATTTTATTCAACATGTTCAATAAATTTAGTAATAAACCTTCACAAATATAATACTCTATTTATCACATACCTTAAGAAAAAAGAACTTTTCACAATAAAAATAATCTTTTTTTTTTTTTCATTGACATGCCTTTTTATAAATCCACTTTAATTTATAACAGAGGTTTATGTATCAAACTTATTTTAAGACTTATTTCATAGAATCATTTCAACAAATTCAGCCATTGCATCCTTGAAACACCCTGCCCTACCAGAGTGGTTACAACTTCAGAATTTATGTGAAAACACATTTTTAAGCAAGAAAATATATTTCAAATGTCAAATATATGAGGTTGATGCTCCCTAAATTTAAAATGTAACTCTGAATGCGACAATAGAAACACATCATAAACTAGCATGAATACAAGAATCAGAAGATAGCAGAAGATAATTACATTATTTTACTGTCAGATATATGGAGTTTTTTTGTATGTTCTTTCATTTCTACAATTTATGCCAAAAACCATAGAATCAGCACTTGTAATTTTATTTTTCAAAAAGAAGTTCACCCCTACCTTTTAGGTTTTTTATTTTTACTCTTTTTCTCTGTGCCTTCTTCACCTTCCTCTTCCTCATCTTCATCTTCTTCATTATCTTCTTCTTCTTCTACATGAGAGAAATATAAACAACTTTATAATTGGTTTTGTGTCAGTTTTAACCCATAACCTGTTGAATTTGTGGTTATTACCCTGCTTTGGAACAGTCTTTTCCAGGTTAAAGGGATTTCAATATCAAAATTATACAAAAATTGAGTTGCCAACAGTATAGAGTCTGTGCAAGCTGGACTGGTTCTATTCTTGTTGCTATTCATTCTTGTTTCCAGCAAATAAAGGCTTAAACTTCTTTTGAAATGGACTTGGATTCTTTACCAGAACTTACATTTTTCTTTGCACAAGCTACAAAAAGAGCCATAATTTTACAAATTCTAAGGCTACAACTCTCTCAAGATTATCATTTTGATAATAAAATATTTTCCACCTTTAGCTTTGTTTTAAATCATACTGCATATAGAAACGTTAACATCTTCCTGGTAGAGAAAAACCCTCCTCTGCTTCTCTGTACAATACATCAGCCATGGGATAGCTAATAAGTAAAACGAGGAATATATGAGTGTGTAAACTTGATAATTTTCTTATATTACATGTACAGAATTCCTAGTTCTATGCAGGAGTTAAATATAATGAAGTAAACGACCACTGATACACCCAGCACAATGCACTGTCAAATAGCATTTAGCTGAATAAATCTTGTTGGGGTAAGATAGAACTAGACAGGTTGAGACACTCATGAAAATATAATTCAATGCATCCATTGGAGAATTATGAGCATATATAATCATATATCACCAAGACCTGGAATTATGGCTGTGATGATACCTAAAATGAACATAAACTTCTTTTTCTCTTACCTTCATCTGATTGTTGAACATCTTTGTATTTATTGAACATCTAAAAAAGGAAAACAAAAATAAAATGTAACAAAATTCATTATACTTTATTATCTTATGCCTTCAATTCTCAAGTCTGAGACATATGGATGCTGTTTTCAAGTGTGAAATACATTGTTCGATATCACATATATTAATATACACAAAATAAATTGTTCTAGCAAAGAATATTATTATTCATCATTTCTAAAATGTTCATACTGAATCATTTAGAACTTTATCAACAATTTCTTTCAAGCAAAAATAATAAATGAAAATATCCATATAATAAAGTTCTACTGTTTTTATCAATATATTTGAAATACCTATGGAAAATGGGCCAATTGTTGACCTATCCACTTTAAACCCTAAAAAAAGCATGCTGAAATATACACACGCCAAGTATGATGATATAACCTTTAGAATGATAAAATAGCTTGCATAGATAAAAATAGCTTATGACAAATAGTATGATAAAGAATGATTACAAACCTTGAGATATGTAGACGGTACAGAGCCTTTCTCCCCTTTCTCATTTTCTGCCTCCCACCAACCATCTTCTCTGTAAAATATAAAATAACATGGATAAAACATAGCACTTAACCGTGAAAAAATAAAGCTCACTGAAATTCTCGTTTCGAAAGTCTAAAATATAGATCTTAATGTATTGATATTTATGATAACTCTTAATACAACTGTTACTTATATAGCATTTATACATTTCAGATATCATTCATCACTTAAACACAGTATAAAACTAAAATTGAATATGTTTAACCACAATAATAACAAATCAGAAAAGTAAATTTTTGACAGAAAAGTACAATAAATTTGTGCCTTAAAAGGACTTTTGCACAGGAGACTGAACGAGTCAGTTTGTTTAAACAAATCACTTGACCAATCTAACAATTGAACAAAGAAAAGTGACAATGTGAGTTTTTCCCCATAAAAAAATGGTGTAAATATGACCTCATGTCATACAGGTATGTAATTTTTTTGTTCATTACACAAGTACATATAATATAGGTCAAGGAAAAAAAGTTTAACCAATGCCAACAGGTCAGGTGACAACTATACCCATACCCCTTTTTATTAAAAAAAAGAAGACCTTTACAACCATTGAGCTATTAAAACAATCCAAAATTTCAAGACCTAAACAATCCAAAATTTCAAGACCTAAGCAATAAATTACAACTGCCCATAAAATAAGAGTGTTATCAAAATTGTGTGAATAAGCCAACAAGTTTGACACAATACTAGAGAAATCATAGCACTGCAATTACAACAAACAGTGCTCAGAAGATTGACCCTTATCATTTTTTAATTTTGTATTTTATATTGGACTTGTTCAGCTTTGAATTTGGAACAGTCCATTTATAGTTCAGGAAATTTCTGTATCAAAATACTAAAACTGAGTTTTTTGGAGTTTGAGTTTCACTATAAGGGTCATATGGTGACTTTCAAGGATTACTTGTTGAGGAAGACCTCAGGTGCCCCTCTATGTATTGAGTAATCAACAGTATAGACATAAAGGTAAAGATTGGTCTGAATCGGTACTGTAGGTATAGGTCTATTTTCATAACATATGGTTACAAGTTCTATAGACAGATATATTAAATGAAACCCTGTTCTACTGTTTTAAAGCTACAACCAAACACATGATTAGCCATGTTTTTTACAAAGAAATATATTACAATAGTTATTATATTATAAATCATAATTTAAAATGTGCACACAACATTATCACAGAAAAACAAATATATGTATACCTCCCTTCCTGTCTGAAATGTTTTATTATAGGTGGATGATACAATGATGAAAAAAAAATGAACATAAATGTATTATACTAATACACTTGGTTAAATTACAATTGACACAGGAAATATCGACAAGTAAAAGTTCTTTTTCCCTGAATTAACATACATTGGTATATTTAAAATAATTCCTTTAAAATAGACTTTAAAGTATTCAAGTATAAACCTGGGAACGTATTTCTGTGTGTGCTCTCCCTTTTATAATGAATATTTATAATGTAGTAGGCTTTAGTTATGTGTATGTGTACTTGCATAATTAGTTAATTCACAATAAAAAAAAATGTATAAAATACACTACATGTATAGTTTTCTACAATCCATTTACATAATCTATATATAAGAAATACTGAAAAATATGTGACTACATTTAAATGATTGTGGTGGAAATGTAAAAATGTAAACTTTTTTCACAAAACATGGAAACTGGTACAATTATTCCTAAAATGTTGTGGTTCTAAGGTAAAAATGACTAACAAATAATTTACTTACTGTGTAGTAATGATAGTAAGTACTTCTCCAGCTTTGAAATTAAGATCACCCTTCTCTTTACTGGAAAAGTCATATATGGCTTCAAATAATCGACCCTGCACAAACAAAACAAAAATTTATCTTATTACACATGTACTTTTGTATCTTCATTTTTTTTCAACACACTAAATTAGGCAATGGTTTCTTTTATTAACAAGAGCTGTCCGTAAGAAAGTACACTTGAATATACTTAGTACTTGACAGTAAGAAAAGGGGCATAACTCTGTTAAAATGTGACTTAAAGTTATGGGACCTGTGCTCATCACCTTAGATAATCATAGAAAATAAGTGTGTGAAGTTCCGACCCATTCCTTTCAGTAGTCTGGAGAGACAAACTTGCACACAAAATCTGACAAAATTGTGATGCCGATGCCAGGGTGAGTACATTATCTCACCCTATTTTTCCAATAGTCGGGCTTAAAATACACACAAAGTATTTGTCCACAGAATAATACAACACTGATAAAAGAAATTATATTATACATATATATATATTATGATATGATATTATAATATTAAAATACAAGAACCTTATTCAACACCCATAACTCAATGAACTAAGAATGAGTTAATAAAAAGAGTAATTTGCATCTTTTTTCAATCCATCTTATAAACATGTAAGTTATTTTATACTGTTATAAAACAATTTTTTTCACTTATTACTATGAAGTAGATAATAAGCACCTGGCCTGGCTAAGTTATAGATTAGACACTAATCCAGTATCATTTCTAAGAAATCAAGACTTCGATGAACTCAATTTCAGGTCAGAGATTAGTTAATTCTGTTTTTGGTATTTACAGTTACGAACCATTTACATCACACCAGCATTAGAATCTTTTACTGTCACAATGTGAAAAAAATTGAGCAAAACCACTTAACATATTTATGTACTGGAAGTTTCTAATGGTATCATTTAAACATTAAAAAGACTCAACTGAGGTTTTTTGACATGAAGTGACTGGAAATACAAATTTTCTGATCATTCCCTTGCCTAGATTTTCCAGCATTGTCATTTTTTATTGCACAAAATGACCCTGATATCGAGATCAAGATCTCATAAAAAATTGATAATCAATACAATTCGAATTTCTTTGTTATCCTTCGCAGATATTTCTATTTTAAGTGTTTCTCTTGAATTATGTAAGAATTTCAAATTTTATGTTTCAGCCTTTTTGACCTCAATGGAGTTCCTTAAAGTATGCTTACAGTAGTAGTAACTTCTAGATCTCCTTCTTCCTTATCACTTTCCTCATCTTCATCTTCTTCTTCATCATCTTCTTCATCTTCATCCTCCTCCTCCTCATCATCATCATCATCTTCTTCTTCTTCTTCTTCTTCAGTCTTCTTGGCAGATTTTGGTTCTGTCTTACTATATTGTCAATTTAAAGAATGAATATCAATCAATGGTAACTGTACATTAGGTTATGAAAATGTTGTTAATGCATCTACAATCATGATGTTTTCTAGTTGTTGTTTTTTGCTTTGCTAGTCTTATCAAGGAAACTATTCTAAGGAGTAGAATTATCATACAGAAGCAATTCATTCATTTGGTAAACAAGGAATCCAAAACAGTTTTAATGCTCACATGAAAACCTTTGCTATATATGTCAATAAACTGAAAGGTAACAGGACTGGTGTTGCTAAAAACTTCAAAAATGGCAAATGCTGACAATGTGATTTTTACACAGTACATGTACAAGGTAATATCCTTGTTCTCTGGAATACCAATAACAGTCATATACTAACAGCAGCAATTATCTAATCAGTGTTCATGGATTCTGTCAAATAATAACAATATTTACTGCAAGTGGTAACTTCTGAACATAAAACAGCAAAGTAGGATAAAATGTATAATCTTTCTTAACACCCCAGTTACATAGAGCCATTGGTGATTGATCGGTAGTTTTTTAAGCCAAATTATGGAGCAAACCAATGACAACGCATTTAACACCGATATCACCTATTGGTCACCTGTTTTCCACCAACTGCTACTGGGGAAAGATAAGTTTTATCAGTGAGAAATTACCGATTGGGATTTTTAAACTTGTTTAAAATTCTCGATCGGTGAAAATATTTTACAAATAACCAACAGCAACCTATATCACGAGATATGCAAGCTCTTAATCATCGATATCGCTGATCGGACAAAGATAACCAAATATGAATCATTGGCCATATCTGACGGAAAGTGTTAAACCACTGATGACTAGCTATCAAACACCGATTAATCAGCATTACGCCCGATTTAGCTCCGATTTACAAACGATAAAAAACCGATAGTATTTCAGCATTTTTATTACCGATCCAACCCCGTTTAAGTTTGCTTTCTGTCACCGATGGCCGTTTACACAGAAAACCAGAAATAAAATCATGCATGACAACCGATCATAACAGCGAGTAAATTTAAAATTAAATTACCGATTGGGGACTGACTGTCTTTGTAACTGGCCCTTAACTCAGTTATTACATGAAAAGAAGTAATTCCTCACCAAGGTCTTAAATCCACAAATCTAATGTCATATACACCCCCAACAAGCACCTAATTGCACAAAGCTAATGTCATTTATACTCAACCAAGGTCTTAATTCCACAGATCCAATATCAACATTTTGAAGAAACAATTCTGTCAAAAATTAATATCATTCTCCTCTTTTTGGAAGATGTTGCTAAACAAATGGATCAATGTTTAAAAAGAGCAAATACCTTGGAACTACTTTTTTAGGAGTTGTTTGTTCCTCATCTTCTTCCTCTTCTGTTTCCTCTTCTTCAACTTCCTCCTCTCCTTCTGTTTCGTCTTCTTCAACTTCTTCTTCAATTTCTTCATCATCATCTTCATCTGGTTTACCTTTTTCTGTTTTTGACACTTTAAAAGGAAAAAAGTGGACAATTTTCTTAAAAATAGTGTTTTGCAGGCAAAGGTTTCATTTTCCAACAAGACAGTTGTCCCATTTTTTATCCTCCAGTCATTACGTCATATGATGTCATCACATGGTCAGCAGCAAAAAAATATTACATATAGACGCTGTGGGAAAGTAAGAAAGAAACCATTTAAATAATTTAAAGATATGACTATGAAGTAGGATAAATCAAATACATGGTTGATGTTGCGTTAGAGAGGGTTTATCCGGTTCAATGCAAAAGTGAATCTTGGCTCGCTGAAGCTTGCCAAGATACACTTTCTCACTCAACGGATAAACCTTCTCTATCATGACATCAACCATGTATTCTCTATCTCTTATCACAAAAATATCGCCTTCAACAAAAACAGACATTAATATATAATTTATGATAACATTAATGAACTGACATTAATTTATATCTTTGAAAAGGAGTATAAACACTGTATGGCCAAAAAATTAAGAGCTCCATTTTTCAATCTGAGACTACTTGTCCACAAGTACTGGCAGGACTTGAAAGCAGCCTTAAAAATGATTCTCTAATGTATATGCTTAACTGCTTCATCAATGACTACAAAAACAATATCTTTATCTAACAATTTTCTCTTTACCTTTCTTAGGTGTCTCTAAAGTTTCCCCAGCAGTCTCGTCACCTTCTTCATCATCTTCTTCCTCGTCATCTTCATCATCCTCTTCTTCTTCTTCCTCTTCTTCCTCCTCCTCATCATCCTCATCATCATCACCCTTCTCATCTTCATCACCTTCTCCTAATTCCTTTTTTAACTCTCTGATGAAGATTAAAAATTTAATAATATTTTAAAAACAAAATATACCTATACATCAATAGAATGGTATCTACATTATATTGTTATACAGTCTTATATATTGAAAGCAGCCTTAAAAATGAACTTCATTAGAGAATCATTTTTAAGGCTGCTTTCAAGTCCTGCCAGTACTTGTGGACAAGTAGTCTCTTAATTCTTTACATAACTAAGTAAAATAGACTACTATAGACTACTTCCCCAGTGAACTTCAGGGTTGCAGTACTAGTCTCTATCTAGGCCATCTTCTAGGAAGAGGCTTAAACCTTTTAAATTGGATCATTATGATGTAATCCCTAATCAAAATCAGTTTTAAACTACTAGTGTGAAGTCTGTAACTGCATATCAATAATCAAACAGATACAGTAGTGTCTTCTTCTCCAACTCTCTCTCTATGTGTGCATGTTGCAGAGAAGGCACACAACATGTCAAAATTAAGTCATCCCAAGTACCTGGGAAGATTGGTTGACCTGCCGTGACTAACTTGAGAGGATTGCCCCTAGAAAAAGTAGTTTCATAAAGAACATCCCTTGGAAATATTATTGTACACCATTTCCATCTACAAACTATTGACAGGATTAAGGCAGAGCAGAGCATCATGACGAAGAGGCTACAGCAGGGGACTGGCAAGGATGCCATAGGTCTAAACCATATTGTCCATTCCCGCACTTGTATAAACTTGAACAAGAGCTGGCAGTAGCACAGTGTGCTCAATTATTCTAAGTGCTTGATAGTAAAACAACAGCTGGAATATTGTAGAATTTTCCTAGTTCAAAAGGGCAATATTTCTGTCAACGTCTATGTTAGAGTTATGGGCCTTTGTCAGTGACCTATAATGCTCTAAAATAAGTGTGTGAAACCTTCAGTAGTTTTTCGGGCGATGCCGACACCTGGTGGAGTACAATAGCTCCCTTTTCTTTGAATGGTCAAGCTAAAAACAAACAAAGCAGTGTCCTGCTCAACTGTCTAACTTTGTAGTTCTAAAAATGTAAAACTTACTTCAGATATGCTGTTCCTTCCTCATCAGGGAGGAGTTTTGTCATAGCATCATCAACCTGGGTCTGAAATTAATATATAGTTATAGAATATGAACATGGCTTACTAAATTTCTGAATATGTTAAATAGCTAGAGTTTTATATTTCTATATTTCTTCATACACACACTTCAATTTTCTTCATATTTCAGCTAAATTTCCACATATTTCAGCTAAAGACTTCATATTTCATGCACATTTTACATCAATTGATCTCTACATTTCTAAATCTGTAAATACTTCAGTTGAAATCCAACATGCTAACCTGTTAAGTCTTTCAGATAAAGTTTACAAATTTAGACTAAATTTTTACCAAGTTTTGTGTCTTGATACTTAGGCACAATGTCTTTATATTTCATATTTCAACTAGATTTCTACATCTAATTGGTTTTTGCTGAATACCATAATACTCATATGAAAACATCATGAGTAAATAAAAACTCTATACCAATTTAGACTGCATTGAATTGACCTTGAACTTGATCAGCAATTAAATTAATCGTAACAAATATATGTAGTTTTTTTTTTAAATGAAAACGCACAACAGAAAACATCTTCACTTATTAGGATTTTCGTGTTGGAGACAAGGAAAAACAATGGAGAAGTTTAAAAATTCTGGAAGAATGTCAAACATGTATGTAATGGATCAAAACTGTTTTGTGAATAAATATCAGAAAGTAATTTTTACATTAGCATCCATTTAGATTATCGGAGCATTCTAATTTATATAAATGAAGTTGAAAAACATTCCCACTACAAAAGAAAGATGTCATGTATGAATTTTGACTTTTTTTTAACAGGCTTTGTCTTAAGAGACCGTTTCATTAAGCGACTGTTTTGGGATGTTTCCCTTGTGTGGTCGCTTAATACACATTTGACTGTATTGACTTTTATAATGGTGATTGACCAACAGTTCATACTGGAAAATGTTTAGGATAAAATACAAATCAACTACCAAGTATCATAACATGTTATGACAGTTTTTCATTATATAATATCACTAACCTGCCATGTTGTTATTCTATCTGTTTCTTTTTTCTTCTTCTGTTCAAAATTTTTAACTTTGGGCCCTTCATTCTCCTGAAAAAAAAACAGTATCTCAATGAATTTAATGTAAATCATTTCAAAGAAAATGGTGGTATATGGAAAACAAAAAATATATATAGTATGTTATATTAGAATTCATACTAGTTTTTACACCCAAAGACATGTACTTTAAAAGTATCTTTATTCATTTTTTTCAAAATTGCACTTACCCTAAATAATTTTAAGTAATTAATTTTCAAATTTACCACTTGAACAATAGAATCAAGTTGAATTTTAAATGTTCAACAATAAAGAATAATAAAGGGATAGATCTAAAGTTTTAACAGAATTGTTATAAATCCTTTAAACAGTAAACAAGAAACATGGCAATGCCATGAAACCAGGTTTTCAATTATCACCATTGTAGATAAATATGTTGTATTTGAAATACAAATACAAGCAACAAACAATGTAACTATGTGCAATGTAAAACATGAATAATGTAGGAGGAATTGCCACTGAAGAAGTGTTCACTATATATTCTGTATAAGGAAAAACAAACAAAGGGCCATAATTAGGTAAAATATTATCCAATCACAAAACCCCGACAATATGTGCCAGGGCACTTGATGACAAAGCTTCTGTGAAAGTTTGAACAAAATCCGTTGAGAAATGTAGGACGAGTTCAGCACAGAAGAATTTGTTCACTATATATTGATAATTCTGTATAAGGAAAAAAAACAAAGGGCCATAATTAGGTCAAATATTATCCATCACAAAACCCCGAAAAAAATGCGCCAGGGCACTTGATGAAAAGCTTCTGTGAAAGTTTTGGTCAAAATCCATTGAGAAATGTAGGAAGAAGTTGCGCAACGATAGAAATTGTTCACTATATATTCTGTATAAGGAAAAAAAACAAAGGGCCATAATTAGGTCAAATATTATCCAATCACAAAACCCTGACAACATGCGCCAGGGCTCTTGATGACAAAGCTTCTGTGAAAGTTTGAACAAAATCTGTTGAGAATTGTAGAGGGAGTTCAGCACAGAAGAAATTGTTCACTATATATTCTATATAAGGAAAAAAAACAAAGGGCCATAATTAGGTCAAATATTATCCAATCGCAAAACCCCGACAATATGCGCCAGGGCACTTGATGACAAAGCTTCTATGAAAGTTTGGTCAAAATCCGTTGAGAAATGTAGAAGGAGTTGCGCACAGAAGAAATTATTTACGCCCGCCCGCCCACCAACCTGTCCGTCCGCCCGCCCGCCGACATACCTCAATCTAATAACAAATGTAAATAATCTAATGAAAAGTGTTTTCCATCTAAACCCACTGATATTGTGAAATGGACCTGTCCAGCTTCCATTTTTGGATCTATCTATTATCAATTTTAGGGATATCAAGATGAAATTTTACTGTAAGACAGCCTTGTCACATGGCACATAAGTGCAGACTGATATAGCTCTATACTAGTGGAAAATGCTTATCACTTTCTGTTCCAGCACAATAAGGGTTACAAGCAAAATTTCACTCCCCCCAAAAAAACTGATTTGAAAAAACAAAACAATTTTATAATCATCATCACTATAATCATCATTATCAATTTCAACAGTGAACTTTATTGTACCTTATTATTTATCTAATGGCACTTCTTTGCAAAGTAATTCAATCAATGTCAAAGGGAAGAATTCCAAGATACATATAGTAGAAATGTTTAGGAAATTTATAAGTTCCAATTTTATACCTCTGTCAATTCCTCGGCCCTCTGTAGCAATTCTGTGATCTGGGGTTTGAGCTCATAGCAACTGTAATAATAAATAATTAGTGCAAGTCACACAATTATAGCAAAAATATCTATATTAACAAATTTAACCAGAGACTCATTGAAAATCAATGTCTAACAATTTATCAGACATCAGCCTTTATGTACAATTACTCATTTACATTAATGTTCTGTAATTTATTGTGTGATATTTTGCAAAACAAAAGATTGTTTATCAGCATTATATGCAGACATAAATCAATTATCTAAAGTTAAACATCAAATATTTTCTATGATAACAATTTTATATGGAAGTTGGTAGGAATGCAATTACAAGTAGATCTATTTGTTATGTTTATATCAATTTATTTTATAAAATCCCAACGATTTTTGGTAACTTTCAACTAGTGAAACTTTTTTCTTACCTGCGAAAGTTTGCCTTTAGTTTAACTTCTCTGTCCTTCAGTTTCTTGTTATTAGCATTTTTTAAACTTTCTTTTGTTATCTTTTCAACCTAAAAAAGAATAAAAAAAAATAAAAAAGATATCAATTTGATAATTTTTGCAAAAAAAAACCCAACAAAAACAAAAAAAAAACAATCCATAAAAATTGGTGAACTTTAAATGAAGTGCCAAACAAGGGCAACATCGTGGCAAAATACGCCTGTCTGCATCACAAAAGCTTTTGACAGAGATGAGGGCTTATATATATGCATATTGGAGATATGCTATGGGCAATATCCGGACAATATCTGGATATTTTATCATCTCTAGTGACCTTGACCTTGCAAATATTAACCTAAAACTTGTAGTCATGATTGTTATCATTTGTGTTACAATCAATCAATAAATGATGACTAAATGGTCCCTGTACACATCTTTTGTTTTATCTTAACTTTGACCTTTCTATGTGACCTTGACTTTGGTAGCAGGGACTTGATTATGCACGCAATACTTAGCCTCAAATTGTTGAACATTTGTGCCAAGTTACATTAAATCCCTGAAAAATGTAGAAGTTTGGCTCTAGGCAATATGTTAATATTTTAATTTTTATCATCTTTATTGACCTTGACTATATTAACCTTAATTAAATGTTTCACACCAGTAGTCATGATAATGACAATTTGCGTTTCAATCCCTCAATAAATGATGACTAAATGGTCCAACAGTTTTTTTTTCCAGGACTTTGGGAACATGACCCATACCCATGGAATTGGGCATTTCAGTGATGATTTGTTAAATTTTGCAATGATTAAATGAATGCACACATTAACTGTCTAGGATGGCATCTACAAACATTTAAACACCGTAACAGTGAAGAAGCACTTATTTTAAAAGATTTAAGAATTTATTATTCAATATTTTTTATTTTGTAACTTTCAATTTGGAATATTTTCCTGTGGATTCGGGAAATAATATACTATTTCCAATAAGAATTGGGAATATGACCGAATATCAGCTATAAAATAAGCCAAAAAAAAAATCCCTGTCCAAATACACATTTTCATATCTACATCTGAACTTTGACTCCCTATGTGTGACCGCACGGACCTGAATTTTGCATGCGACATTCCGCCTCACTATAGTGAACATTTGTGCCAAGTTATATTAAAATCCCTCTATGCATGTATAAGTTTTGAAGAACCCAGCCCTAAATTGGTCAATCTGGCACTTCATTATTTCAAGTTGGTCAATGCGGCCCCCAAAATTGAGCAATCTAGCACCAAAATTGGTGAATTTGTCCCCAAAATGGATTTTCAAAGAAAAGCGAGTCTAGCCTCACACATGATAGAGAGAATTCCACATTGCCTGTTGCACAGTAAATAGGCCAATTGTGTTAGCATCTAAGTCAAAAAATAAAGTTAAACATACAAGACAATATTTGCCTTTTTTAAGTACCTTAGGGTGTCTATAACAATATTTTTGGAAAGAAAGGATAACTTTTTGGACATCTTTTTCAAAATATTACATCTCTTGCGGACTTTGTGGGTAGGGGACGGATGTTACAAAGATATACTTAAAGTCTGAATATCTTACAGTTTATAATAACAAGAGCTGTCCGTAAGACAGCGCGCTCGACTTTTTTATTGCTTGCCAATAAAAAAAGTTTTTGCAGTAAAAGGCAATACAAGAATCTCTGTATTTTTAAAGTGAACTAGTTTGTTTGATACTTGAATATTACAGCAATGTTTATATGACATAATTTATGGTAAAGTGAACAAGTGGATAGGAAGAA